CTATAAATACTACACTACTTTACACATTGGACGTCTACTGCTGGTGTTGCGAACGTCGCACTTCACCAGAAAGCTGAAGTATTTAACATGGTTTGCACGTGACGTAATCGCACTAGATACTGGTTGTCATTGCGAGTTGTTCTTGCTGAGAAAATCAAATTCGGTTTGGCAAAATGCACGCTGCAAAAGTTTCGCGCTCAGTGCAAGCTATGTATTTGAGAGGCACACATTTTTCTTGTTGGTACATCGTCGTTAGGCACGGCGCGAGTATCTGGCACGACGAAAACGTGCTTTCTGGCAAGAGTGTTTTTACAAATAAAAGTGTTACCAACTACCCATCTGTCACTATCGTTTCCAGGCCACGCTTTCTAGTCTGCGCCGAAAATGTGGGGCAGTGGAATCTTTACGACACAGTATGCTTTAAAACTACCCCCCTCCCCACTCCCTTTTTTTTTAGTTGCTCCTCAAGATACTTTTTATTCCTCAGGGATTGCCTGCTCCGTATTGAGTGGTGTTCACTCGACAATTATATTTGTGTCACTTGTTAACAGTAATTCTTCCTTGCTTTAACTTTGCACCAAACTGTGAAGGTTAAACAAAATACAGGGCGGTCGAAACTTGGAGAACTTGAGAGCGACACTCCTGTGAGACTTAGAGCGGCTGCCAAGGTTCGGCTATCCCCGTGAGGCCACTAGGATCTTTCTTCTCAGGTATCCCTCCCGTACACACTAATAGTTCCATGTAACGTCCGACTAATACGTCACATTTAGACCCTTTAACACTTCTATTCTCGGGACAACTTTCTGAGGCAGTTCAGCAATAACGAAAACATGTTTGAGAGCGTCAATGGTGTGCATACATGTAAAATGGGTCGTGCAGCACCTTTTTTTTTTTTTACCTTAAGTTCAATAAATACCGCTAAGTTGTAATCCTTGACGTTGATAACTTGCAAAAGCATCCATTAGTTTGCCCCTCCGCGAAATGGCAGACAGTCGAAAGAAAGAAATGAAACAGCTTTCCCCTCGTCAACTCACAATTAGAACTATCAGCCACGTGATCTGATCCCAATATATACACCGTCAGTGTTTATCATAGTCATACGCAGGGTTGGCAAAGCAGAGAGCATGGGCTGATCTTCAGATATAGCTTTAGTTGGGCTATGATGCCCGAGCCCCACTAAAGCGACAAACAGAAACAAACGACAGCGGCTAGCCTTAAACCAGAGTATTTCGCGATTTGACAGGCTTTGTAGAATAAAGAAGGCTATGCTCAAACACGAGTATCATGCACACGATGGTACCATTTGCAGGCTTGTAAACACTCGTGCTAACTTCGCGAGTACCGAACAACTCAAAGCCGTATAAAGGTACCATCGCGAACATGCTGCATGTGTCTGAGGCTTGTCGCTTTCGTTTGTTTCTGTTTCTAGCTCTAGTGGGACTCGGGCCCATCATAATCTTTGAGTTGAACACGAGCGTTACCCGAATGTTTGGCGATACTGGTTGTCATGAACCAGAGCATTTGACTCGGGATTATAACAATCGGGTACATCATGGTGTCACGTGACTCTCAGTGCGAAGTTGTGATGTCATGTGACGTCACGGTATCAACAACGTTAATAGATCTAGCGACGTCCTCAATTCGAATCGACTTAACGCGGTGAGTCACGTGACGTCACGGGGTCACGTGATGTGACATTACTTGACAGCATGTCTTGACATCATGACGTCACGTGACATTGTGACACATGGCTAATCATAGTGCCAATAAGAAAGTGCCGCAAAAAACCAGGATTTATTATACATTGCAATTCTGTATATGACGATTTGATCAATACGTAGAGGAATACACGTGCCAATAATAATAAATTTGTAATACTAACAAAAAAAAAATACCGTGAACCGTTTTGAACCGGTTACCGTTATATTTTTTTCGGGTTCAGTTCCGGTTCAGTTCCAAGATGGCGGCGAAGATTTCGGTTCGGTTCAGTTCCGGTTCGGCTAAAAATAACGGTTCTGTTCCGGTTTTCGGTTCGGTTCGGTTCCGGTTCGACACCCTGATAGACGGTCCCTGCAAAGTCCAACCTATTTTCGTGTTGACTGCCACCAGCCCCTCACTTTCCTTACATCTCACGACCTCTCCTGTGAGGATTTTCCAAACTTTGTCGGATCCAATAAGTAAGCTAATTCCTGGCGTAACTTGCACTTCTGGAACCACTGTGTCATCTGCTAGATTTCTATTTTGCAGGCGTAAGAACTCTACAAAACTGTCCTCAGAAATTTGCGCTGCAATGTCCTGGCAAATAACCGGAATGGTTACCGCTTCGATTAAGCACTCGCTATCGTCAAATTCGCTCTTGAGGCGGACCTCCGCCACATTGCTATGTTCAAGCTCCTTGCTGGTAGTGCTGCCAAACGTGTTCAGTTTAAGCTTCGTCTTCCGCAGAATCTTGAGATTCAATCGCTGCGCCAAGTCTTCTTGAATAAATGATCGCTGACTGCCTCCGTCCAGAATTCCCCTTATATATCGGCCGGTGTCCTTGTTGATGACCCATGCTTTAAATGTCTGTAGGTGGACTCGATCTTCGATTGTCCGTTGACACGAGTCACCTCTCTTTTCATACGGCTTAGACGAAGACACACAGGCGACTGCTCCTTCTTTTGTTCGTGTGTATGACGGGTCACACATAGTGACGGCATGTCGACCACCGCATAATGAGCAGATCAGTCTTTTTCGGCAATCCCTAGCACGATGCCCTTTTGTAGTACACCGGAAGCATCTCCCATCTCTTCCTAACATCTTCTTTTTGTTGTATAGCGTCTCCTGAGCATCGCAAATTTGTGTCTCGTGCTTCTTCGAGTGACAAAAAAGGCATTCCCCTGGCGCTGAAGGTGCCGCACTATGGAGCGCTGATGCCGCCGGCTGGGACTGGTCGTTCGTTTCGTCTGTTTGCTCCTTGCCTCGAGCTGCGGGGTGGCCGCTTCGCTCTCTGCTTTCTACTTCGATGCGGAGGAAACTGAGAATCTCATTGAGATTCGCAGCGGCAGTGGATGTCTCTGATGCGGAACCGTCGCCCTGCATCAAATTTGCGTTGCTTCAGAGCTTGTAGCTGACTTGCCGATGATATTGCACGACGATGTCATATGGCATTGCTTTCATCAGAATGTCGCTGAGCATTGCCGCAAAACTTGCAGTTGGAACATCTAGGGCGTTGAGGCAACGTATGTTCAGCTGCGTTGTATCATAAAGCTTGCGAAGACCCCGGTTGTCAACCGAAGATCGAATCTGAGGAAGGTTTCGCAGTGCTGATAGGTGCTCCTGCTCTATTCTTTTGGGATCCCCGAAGCGCTGTTTCAGGAGTTCAATAGCATCTGCGTAGCACCGCTCGGTCGTCGGTAACCCGGCAATTGCCGATGCTGCATCGCCTGCGAGGTAGCGTCGTAAGTAATGGAACTTGTCAGTTGTAGACAATGCCCGACTTGAGTGGATTGTTCCATCAAATTGCTCCCAGAAAGCGCGCCAGTGGCTGATGTCGCCTTTAAAGATGGTTATGTCCAGTTTCGGCAGTCTTGGACCACTCATTGGGGTGATACCTTCAGAAGCGCCTTGTAATGGGGCCGTTGTAGGAGGAACAGGGTTACGTCTGGTGATCTCCAGGTGTTCGATCTTGTATCGCAGCTCTGCGAGAACCCTGATGGCGTGGTCTTGGTATTCGGCTACCAAAGCTTACTCATTTTCCAGCTCCGTCGTTGGCAATAGTGGCTCCAGCTCCTCGTTGATGCGGTCTAGCTCGATGTTGCTGGCAGACAGTCGATCCTTGACCGCGTGGAGCCTGCCTAAGTCTGTCTGTGGATCGTTCAAGATCGTGTCGGCGTCGTTAATCAGCCGCGTGTTCTGGGCTCGTCGGGCTGAACGCTTGGCTTTCAACCGATCCATGGCTATTTGTGAGTTCAGTGGTCAGCTGATGCCGTTTCCAACCTTGTAGATCTCTAAGCCGGAGAGCTTGTCTTCGCGTTGCTTCTCCCGGTCGTAATGCTTCCGTCGTTTGGATCTTTGTGATCAATAAGATTTCCGTTTCACTTGCCTTCGCAACGTCTTGTTGAGCACGATACGATGACTTGAAGCTCTCTCCCGGGTTTCGGCACCATGTGGAATTCTTAAAGATCTATCAGTGAGACGGTGGACTTTAGCATCAGAAGGTCTATGTGACCGTTGGTTAATGGTAAAAAGAACAACACCCTCATCTTCCTCTTTCTAAAGTCTCGATCAGTCCTTCAATTCCTCGTGCCTTCTTCTTTCTTCTCTTCGACTTCCTCAACAGGGGGTTTACTTTATGACGTGTCCTATTTGGTGCTGAAAATTAACGTCTTTTAGGGGTTCAGTGTCTATTTAATTGGCTTCATAATTTGTGTGACGATCATCCTCCAGTCCTGTGTCTGTCGAGCCCACACCCAATAAATCGCAGCAAAAGCTGCATTTGTGTCACTTTCTTCCCCTTTATTTTTATTTAAGACAGAATGTTGTATAACTGGCTCCGGTTCCCACTCCAAAGACTGAACAAAAAAATTGTGAGTGCCAGCCAAACGCTGACACAGCGCTCGTCTCCTTGCCGATCGAACACGAGTGCCAGCCGAATGTCTTGCTCGAGTAGATTAGAGTTATTTCCGCAGGTCACACCACATGATCAAACATAAAACCAACATCAATGACAAGCCCTGCTACTCCTAGCACTCGCTATACGAGCAAGCTGCAGGCTTGCTTGTTTTGAGGTCACCTGTCTTCATACGTGTTTTCATTCTTGCCAAGTTTTCTAGTGTGTTTATGTGGGTGGGGAGGGGGGGGGGGGGTTACTAGCTCGTATATTTGTTCAAGGTTTTTTTGAGTTGGCTATTTTATTTGTGTAGATAGAGTAGCTTGAAAAAAGGTGGTTTGATTGAGCAGCAGCACAAGTGCAGAAATGGGCCTGACTTTTCCTACGCTGTCTGGGGGCCCCGCTGCAGAACCTGGTGGTGACGATGGACTTCCCCTCGGAGCACATGGAGGTGCTCTCCTCGACGGAGAATGGCACGCACCACTGTGTGCGGACCAAGGGCCCCGCAACCACCCGCATCACTGGCAGGCTGGAGGGATTCCGGACCCCCGTGAGTGGTCCGGCGACCATGGGGGAGTTGTAGGGAACTTTTAGGGAATTCAGGGATGTGCCTGGGGGTTGCAGGAAGCTATTGGGGAATTGCAGGGGGTTACTGGGACCTGTTAGATTTTTAGGGGGGGCGAAGAAGGGGGAGGGTTGTTTAGAGATTGAGGGGGTTGTGGGGCGCCTTTCGGGGGAATGGCAGGAGGTCTTCGCAAACCCAGTTTGAGAACCCATGTTCTAAGGTATAAGAGTGCAGCTATGTGCGGCACTTGCTTTTGGTTGTCCGCTATGGAAAAACTATAAGAATGCTCTAAAATCTTGTTAGTGCTGTGTCGTACAGTTATTCGGTTTAATGGAACACGAGGAGGGAAATGCTGTGAACGAGTATGTAGGATGTCACGGTGTGTGACTGCACCGTTGTCGGGGAGATGCATTTGGCAGCAGACAAGGCGGTGATGAAAAGATTGGCTCCCTCACTATGCTGATCTATTAGGGCCCCTGTAAATCAAACAATTATCTTGACGAGCCTTATTCTAAGAGTTGCGGGGACTTTGCTGGTGTACAGTTGACATTCTCCATATTGGTCAATCGCTCGCAGGCGGGTGCGATCCGCAAGGCGGCCTACGGAATCAAGGGCTCCCAGGAAGTGTCCATCTTCAAGCGCATTGTGGTGCAGCCGCCAGTGCTCCTGTTCCCTTGGGACCCCGTGGTGAAGCCCTCGTACAGCCCTCAGGCCAGGGTGAGTGGCATGGCTTGTGCCCCTTCACAAGCAGTTGCCTGTGACCTTATGCTGTGGCATCCCAAGGTCATTAGCGGTTACCTTGAGCTACAGCCTCCCAAGCACATGTGATGACCTTGCCCCCATTTACATTCCAGCGTCATGGAATGACAGGCATTTAGACCTAGAGCTGAGAAAGAGGATAGATGGAGCGATTGTGTGTGCGGCCAATGATTGAAACAATTGCACATTCATTTTCCAGAAGAGCTCTAAATGTTTGTTGTTAGCCTGGATTAGTGGTCAGCATTCGCAATTAGCAGGCCTAATGGTAAGATTTTTAAAACTGATAATGATGCTTCTAAATGTTCTTTATTAGGGTTGTGCGAATAGTGTATTTTGTGTTCAAATCAAATTCGAAGCGAATAGTGATTTTGGCTGAATATTTTCTAATCAAATATTGAATACTCGCCGTTCAAAAATCTTGGCTGCAAAGTGGCATGCAAGTTAATTTTTCACATGCAGCGCATTCTTCGTAGGCCGCATACAACATCCTTCTTCAGGTAGTTTGAAAGGGTTGTTGTTCGGGTTGGCATCTTCAGTGACTTTTTGCATTGTTCACACTTAGAGAAGTACTTCCAAACTGGATTTTGCAAGCTGTCGTTCGAGTCAGTCTTGCCAACCAACCGAATTTCCGCCATTTTGACAATGTCGATGTTATTCACTCATCTTGTCGCTGTAATAATATAATATTCTTTCAGAATATTATAGTTTAAATGTTTTGAAATGGTGTTTTTGAGTTATCTTGCAACTAAAAGCTTCTGAGCAATAGTGCAGGTTATGAGGAATTTCTAAAGTATTTATTTTTATCTTGGACTCTTTTTCTAGCTTTATGTTTGGATGCGGCGGTGGGGAGAAAAGAGTGCCGACAACCAGGGCGCCAAGATTGGCAAAGATTGCGCCAGCGTCTCTTGAGCTCGTTGCTTGGTTTCTTTTGTCCGTTATTAAACAAAGTTGATGAAATGACTATGATGAATATATTTGGAAGTTCCCACCATAATATATATACCATTTGCCGTACGTGGGAGTATATTTTTGATTTTAGAAATCGTTCCTTAGTGATTTTTAGACAGCAAACAAGCTCACGACCGTGAGTTTGCCAACACTTCGAAAAGCACGAATATTACGACTACTCTTGAAGCGAATATCGAATGGAGTGATATTCGAAACTACTATTCGAATATTCGCACAACACTATTCTTTATTATGCTAGGTGCCAGAAGGTAGGGAGCATTAAACTCGTGCAACCATGCTCGGAGCTTTCGAAAAATCGAAAAGTCTCGAGAAATGTGAGGTTGCAAACTGAATGCAAGTACAGGAGCTTGTTTTGCATATTCTTCACTTTTGTTGCTCACACCTATGAGTTGATGGGTGAATCATTCGAGCTTCAAACCTAATGGGCTAATAAACAATGTGCAGATTGACTGAGGACTGCGACTATCACTCAAAATAAACTTCTTGCACTCGTAAAGCATAAAAACTAGGGGCGTGCGAATATAAAAATTTTCGAATGCAGTCGAATCTTGTTAATTCATACTCGAGGGGGACTGAAGATTTGGTTGAATAAAGCAAAGTTTGAATTATCGGGAGTTTCCTCCCGTAGAGACACATAGGATGGGACCTGCATGTTAGTTTGAATTATCCGCAAGTTTGAATTAAGAGATTTTGAGTTAACGAGAGTCGACTGTATGAATCTAGTATGAGTACCTATTAAAATAAATCGCTTTAAATATGTAAAATGTATTGAATGTGTGTACCATTAATAAATAATAAAATAAATACTGTAAACGACTTAATTTTCGCGAATCGCCTACAATTTGCGAAAAATAGGTACCACTAACAGTTCCGATAAAATGTAAACATATTGTAATCTATATTGAGATCCCACCGCGTCGTGAATATTAGAACCCGCGCATTATTCTAAAACCTCAGCTTTCACCTAAATCGCGAAATATTGAGCCCACGAAAAATAAGTCGTTTACAGCATGCCGATACTTCTATTACCTCCAAAAATATTTTAACGAATTCAAGTAAATGAAACTACCTGACTAGGCAGCATTTAAAGGGACACTGGTACCCCCCCAAAAAATATTGGTTATGTTTTGCCAGGCGATCTAATATTATTTCAGAGGACTACCCAATAAATATTTTGCTACAGCATCACATGTATTTTCATAAAGTAAAAAAACGCAACTGCTCGCAACCAAAACCGAAACTGGACTGGGGAGGAAGAAGAATATGGAGAAGAAAGTTGCCGGAAGTCGTGGCTGTGCTACTTTTTTTCTTTTCGGGTCGCTGGGATTGCGAGGCCAGGCAGTGCTGCTCAGTTTTCTTTTCCAGCCAGCATGATGGCCTATCGTTTGAATAAAACCCCCTAGTAAAATCACTTTTCTTAATTTTTTTTTATTTTAGAACGGCAGACACCAGTCAGTAGACGCGAGAGAATGCGCACGATACGGGTACCAAAATGATGAATGTAAATGTACTTTCAGGATGGCAATGGGGCTAGCCACCTTATACCGGGTATTGCATCCTTTTGAGTTTTGGTTTTGATCGTAAGGCGCATGTATTTTTGGGCACAGATTTTGAAGCAAAGTGTGCGTTATAATTGTGCAAGCACAATATGTATTCGCTCAGGACAAAGGAGGAGTTTTGGTTTCGTTTTGCCAAGCCTGCATTGCGAGTCACTTTTCTAGTGACCTTATATTTTTTGCTGCAGGAGCAGTTGTCACTGCGAAAAGGAAGTGCTCATGTATTGAAGATGTGGAACAATGAATTTTTTGGCACGATCACTATCAGTAATTGCATTAGCAGCTGATGTCTAGTATTTGCTGGCTAGTCATAAAAAATTTAAATAATTTTCTTAAAAAAAAAAAAGTAACTACCAGTTGTTTGTGTGACATTAGAGGTTGCATTTTTACGTGCAGTTTTGTACGCTCTTAATTTTATCAGTTTCTATATCGGTTGTACCTTTTGCCTGCTTTCATGTGTTACCAGTTGCATTGTTTAAATGCTGCTTAGTCAGGTAGTTTCATTTACTTAAATATGTTACATTATTTTTGGTTTTTGGAGGTAGTAAAAAAAGTATCTGCATATTTACTTTTTATTATTTAATAATGGTAAACATATATTCGAAGCATGTTCAATATTTAAAGCAATTTTTTTTATTTTTAATAATCTTATTGGATTTAAATTCGAAAATTTCTATATTCGCACACCCCTAGTTTTTATGCTTCATGAGCACAAGACGTTTAATCCGAGTGATAGTTAGTCGCAGTCCTCAGTCGATCTGCACATTGTTTATTAGCCCATTAAGTTTGAAGCTCGAATGTGTCACCCATCAACTCGGACATGTGACCAACAAAAGTGAAGAACATGCAAAACAAGCTTTTGAACTGGCATTCAATTTGCAAGCTCACATTTTTTGCAAGCTCGCACACAGACGTTTCGATTTTTCGAAAGCTCTGAGCCTAGTCGCACAAGTTTAATGCCGTCTGCCCTCTGGCAGACAGCATTATAAAGAACATTTAAAAGCGTCGTTATCAGTTATAAAAAATTGTACCATAAGGCCTGCTAATTTTAAATGTTGACCACTAATCCAGCTAACAACAAACATTTCGAGCTCTCTTCTGGTAAATGAATGTGCAATTGTTTCAATCATTGGCCAATCGCTCCATCTATCCTCCTATACCTATTCATCGAAGGATGATTTAGATATGCCATAGTGCTTAAACCGAGAAGACTCTTTATTTGTGGGCAGCAACAGTTGAGGAAATTCGCGAGCTTGGAAAGCTCTCATGGGTTCCTGCAGAGCCACTGGGTTCATAGGAGGAACCCAGTTTGAGAACCTGTGGTAAAAGGCACCGAGCTTAGGCTTTCCGTAGAGAGTCGCTTGAAACCAAAGCGTTTGCAGTCGTTCTTGCCAAGCGTTCAGTCTGCAGCAGCCCGATCAGAAGGTTCCCCATCCGTGCAGGCTTCGGGAGGAACCGGCTCGTACCGCTGGTACGCGGACAACAGCTCCGTGGCGCGGGTGAGCTTTGCGCTGGACGAGCTGAGCGGCAAGGCGACTGTGGTAACGACCGGCCTGGGACGCACCGCCGTGGTGGCCGAGGACGCCCATAACTCCTTCTCCCTGGGAAAGGCTCTGGTGAGTTGGGACGACGGACCAGGTCTGGTTCCGGGTTTGCTGCCCAATTTTGGGCAACTAGCCGGCACGATGGCAGGGTCGGGTTTTCCCTGGCTCGTGTCGTTTTTGGCTTTGACCTTTGGCTTGAGTCGGCTTCCACCTTCTGGCAGGTGTCCGTCCAACCGGTGGCCGAACTGGAGATTGTGCCTTCTCTGCTGGAGACTGACTACCTCAACGAGGTCCTGGTGCCCGTAGCACTCTATGGCTACGAAGATTCAGGTACTGCGCGACTTCTGAACAATTTTTGTATAAAAAAGACTGTTACTCTCAGCCGTCAGTTTCAAGCCTTAAGTTTTACTCAAAGGGGATCTCTTGGTATCGGATGGTTCTGCAATGTCAATCTACATTGTGACATAATATGGCATGATAGTGTCATGCAAACTTGGCAAGCACCTTAATTCAGCTTGCAAGCTTGTATGTGATGCTGACAGGTTGCGCAACGTCGGACGCATGAGGAATCCGTGTCTTGACCAATCTTCTCCATAAAAGAATGAGCGCCCTGAGGGATTCAAATACCTCTTGTGTTTAGTTTATAGAAAAAGTTATAGCACTAGATGGTATACCGTATTTACTCGCAGAATGAACGCACTTTTTTTCCCGAAAAATCGATGCAAAGTTAGGGGGGGCGTTCATTACGCGAAGTAAAATTTTTGCGTCTGTATTTCCTCGCCTAATGAACGGACCTTTTTTCCCAAAAAATCGAAGTAACTTCTTATCTCTTTGCGCGCGGCGCCCGACCCCGTAACCAAACTAAGCTGTGCAAAAAAAAAAAAAAAAAAATTTTTTTTTTTTGTTTTTTGGTTTTTTTTTTGCCGTCTTTCGCAAGCTGTTTTGTTTGCTTAGGCGTTGCTTAGGCGAGGGCTCTCCGCTTATCTATCTATCTCCTTGCGCGCGGCGCGCGATGCACGACCCCCCCCCCCCCCCCCCCCCCCCCCCCAGTAACCAAACTGCGCTGTGCAAAAAAGAAAGAAAAGCTCCTCTTTCTTTTTTTTCTCAGTTCTGTGGGTTTTTTTTTTTGCCGCGTTTGGCAAGCTGTTTCGTTTGCTTAGAGGGCTTCTCCGCTCCTCTTTCTTACCTCCTTGCGCGGGGCGCGCAACCCCCTGTATCCGAACTGGGCTGTGCAAAAAAAAAAAGAAAAAAAAAGAAAAAAAAGCTCTTTTTAGTTTTTCTCTCTAGTTCGGTGGGTATTTATTTTTTTTTTCTTCCTTTTGCCGCCTTTCGCAAGCTGTTTCGCTTGCTTAGAGCGCTTCTTTCTTACCTCCTTGCGCGCGGCGGCGCCCCGAAACCAAACCAAAGTCCAGACTGCGCTGTGCAAAATAAAAGCTCCTCTCCATGTCCTTTTTACTTGCTTCCGTTGGATCTTTTCAAATTTTTTTAACGCCTTTTGCAAGGCGTTTTGTTCGCCCACGCTGCCCATGCATTCGCGACCTCGCTGTACCAGGAAAGAAAAGTGCGTTAATTTCACGCGTGTGGGGGGAGGGGGTCAACATTTTTACATCCGAGTTGGGGGTGCGTTCATTAGGCGAGTGCGTTCATTGTGCGAGTAAATACGGTATTAGAGAAAGCGTGCCGTGCCGAATGAAGCATAATCAAAACTTTTGGAAGGTCGTCCGTTACGTTTGGCGCCAGTGTGCCCTCGACGCTTCTGACATCTGTCTGCAAAATGCCCCCATAGATTGCTCGAAGTAGGTTCTTATTTTTTTATTTTGAGCGAGGTAGCTTCATCTGTTGATGTTTTCACTTCAAACTTTCACCACTTGTCGGCAGCCCTGTAGTAAGTCGCGGCGCAGTGCGTTTAGAAACCGATTTTTGCGGACCATCGAAAATGATTTCAAAGCTTTAGTGTACATGCCATACTAGCAGGGGAAACGGAGTATGTTGAGCGCAAGTTTGTCTGCTTCTTTTGCAGGGGTTGTGGCGATGTCGGAACGCAGGGCTCCGATTGGCTCCGATTAAAGGATAGTGGGTAGACCTCAAAGCAAGCTGCTTTGAGGTCTATCCACTATCATTCAATCAGTGCCAGTTGGAGATCCCGCATTCTGATGTTACCAGAACCTGTGAAAAAAAACAGACAAACTTGCACTCGGCATAAACAGTGGTACCTTCTTCCCTGCGAGCATCCGAGCGCGCCATATTGCTCCAACCCGACCTTGCGGTGCATCTGTCGTCCTCCAGAGAACAAGACCGGCCGCAGGGTGTTTGATGACTGCAGCCAGATCCCGCTGACTGTGGAGGTGGTGGACGAGGCTCGCTTTCTCTACATCCAGGGTGGGTGCTCTCGCTCCGGTCAAAGTCTGGCACGAGACTTTAGGGCTACCTTTGTTGTTTCTTTCAATTGCTTAGCGAAGTCACGGTGCAGGGCAGAAATAAAGGCACGATGCCCGAGACGTCCTCTACCCCCAAACGTGCGATGCTTTGAACGCTCCTCTGACTGGCGCTTCTGGCGTCCTATTGCAACCACGCGTGGAAAGGGGCAGAAAGGAAAGCAGGCACTGTCAGCATCAGGTTTTTTTTTCTGTACAGTGCAATCCGCTTGTAACGAAAATGAGGAAATAGGGAAATTAAGTAGTCATAACCGAACATCGTTCTATCTGGACTAGAAACTGAGCGTTCCTAGTCTAGAAACTGATAGTTGTAAGCAGTACATTGTTATATCTAGTATTGTTATAAGTGGATTGCACTGATGCTGCCGTCCTATCGTTCATAAAAAAACTGTTTGCGGACATGTTTGAACACGTGTTTAAAATAAACCTGCTTCGAACGTGTTGTGTCTGCAGATCACATTGTCACAGTTCTGCTGCGAACGCAGAGTCTTTCGTACGGTATATGGACAGCGTGAATGCCAAGTTTCGTCGCGAGACAGTGACGTCCGACGCTTGTTCTGCCCAGGCTCCCACGGTCCCCCGCTGGGGCAAGGCTGCCTGACCCTACGGTTCAGCTGCAAGTCCGTCGGCCACTCGCGCGTCTACGTCTCGTACCGCGACGGCGAACTCGACCTCAAGTCCACCACTGTCCTCGGCTGCCACAAGACCCTCAAGGTGCGGCTCCTGGCATTTCCGAGGCATGCACTCGAATCGTCGGGCGCAGAAAGTGGGACAGCTGTGCCAGTTGCGCCATTTTTATGCATTCCCGATTTTCTGTGCCTGGGGGCACCAGAAGCGCGAAATGGACGCAGAGTTACGCCCCGCTGCGCGAAAGGTCACTGACACTAGATTTAGTGGAAAAGGAACGCTCCGTTGACGACCTTGGCTATCTCTTTGCCAGGCGGTGCAAGTCGCCTCCCAATTCCTTGGTTGAGCCGTTTCTGTCTGTTCATCTAGCCATCTGATGGGTTCGACGTGTACATCCACACATCCTGGGCGTCGTATCGTTACGTCATGCGTTGCGTATGCCAACGTTGCGTACATTCCACAATGTATCGTGCAAAGTAGCATGTCGTGTTAGTATTCCCAAGTCGTGCCCCTTCATTTTTATTCCAAACTGATTCCTAAAAAAAATATCCTGTGTACACTTAGATATTTCGCTGTAAAGTTGTATATTTAATGCTCTCCAACACTTATATTACAAACCTAGTTTGCTTGAATTGTAACTTATCGTACAACTGACTAAGTTGCTGTCTTAAAATAATGTCACAGGTACTTGCAAGTAGGATTCCGTGATTTCGGTGGTTATTACAGCGCAGCTGTTATGCGCTAGGGTCTGGGAAAAAAATGTGCCCGCAGATGTTGACAGAAAACTCGCCATTGGCCGCGGCAAGTATGAATAAATAAAAATAAAAAGAGGGGGCAACCAGCGGGAGTCAGCCTTCCTTGGCATTATTAGGTAGTGAGGTCCTTATCTCTTGTTACCATCTCTAGGCATCGACCTCGAGGTCATCCTCAAGGGCTTCCTAGAAGTTGTTCTTGAGGTCGCCCTAGGCGTCGTCCTCTAGGCGTCGTTCTTGAGGTCGTCCTAGGCGTTGTCCCCTCCCCTTTTCCCTCCTTCAGAAGGTGGAGGAGGGGGGATTGCCGTCGTTTGTATCTCTCTCGTTGATTCTGGGACAGGCAAGCGACGGAATTTCTCTTTTTCCGGAAATTCCCAACCGTCGTTGGGTGGAAAAAGACCCTCCCATCCTCACCCTAGTTTTCAAGCGCCGCCCAGCCCCGGACATATGGTTCCCGTGTCTGCCCCTGGGCGCGGGGTTCTCCTCCAGAGATTACTATCGACGCCACAAGGAAAGGAGGGGAGGTGGTTCTCTATTTTTTTTTTTCTTTTTTTTTTTCCGGACGAAAAAAACTTGGTTAGGGCAGAATTTTTTTGCTGACCAAAATATTCATTGGTAGTCTTGTGACACCATGATAAATCTCCCAGCAAAAAATTAAAAAAAGGTTTTGGGGGTTGTTAAAGTTCTTTAAGGGTGCCTATGCAATACGAAGAGGTGAATGGTGATAACATGAGCTGGCCTATCTTTGGGGATGAGAAAGCAAAACTTTGTAATGATAAACACAGGGGCACCCGCTACAAACCACATGACAGGAGCTGACACCACGGACACGGCAAAGGAGCGTTTAACAGCACAATAAAAACGTGGGAATTTGCTATGAACTCCCGCGTCACGAAAAAGGATCCCGCAGACTGCAAACGCTACAGATTCGGGATTAACAGTGTCGTAAGCGTGCGGAAACTGGCTACAAACTCTAGTGCCACGGGGACCTAATCGCGGACAAAAAAATGCGGGAGCTCGCTACGAACTCGTGTGTCAGTGGAACCAATATTGCGTGCGCAGATCGCGAGCAAAAACTCAAGAACCAGCTTCGATTTCTCATGTCGCACTTGTACCGGTACCGCAGATTGCACGGTTGATGAGATTCCCTTCGAAAATGGGGGGTGGGGGGGGGGGAGTGATTTGGTATTTTCATTTTAAGGGTATTTAGCCGGAAAATGGGATGAACATCTCTCTGGAGAGGGCGGCCCTTGCGGAATTTTACGGGGGCCATCCGCAACCTCTGTCTCTGCCTCTGTGAGACGCTGCCAGGATCGCGGTTGGTGACTGCGTGGCACTTCTCCGACGTCAAAAGGTGGAAATAGAGGAACCACAATTTAGGATGTACTAAACACTCCAGTCGGCGACACGCTCTGGGAATCGTAGCAGAGGTGCCTCCTTTGCCCGAGGAGGCACCGGTTTGACAGCATCTTGGTGCTGTGCCTGTTCTTATGCAGGCTGTGCATCCGGCCAAGACGGTGGTCGTGGCCTACGGCTCCTTCAAAGACGTGGCCTTCGAAGGGGGACCTAGACCGTGGCCCATGCTTAAGCAAGGTCACTACGTCAAGTGTAAGTTTATTTGCATCGTCGTGCGCAGCTCGACGGATGCGTCTGCTACTGAAAAAAACGAGCACTTCAAAAATTTCGTGCTAGCATTGTTTTTAAATCAACTGAAGAGTGTGTTGGTAAAATTGACTGACAACAGAAAGAATAAAGCAAACTCGGGACAAGGGACGACAAACATTTTCATGAAGTGTTCATTATGATTCGTCCAGAGTTTGTTTTATTTTTTCTGTGGTCAGTCAATTCTTTTTAAACTGGAGAGCTAGAACTATATTTTTTCGTATGGTCATATACCTTTTTGGCGAATTTTGTGGGACTAGCGACACATTTTGGGGTACAGAGTAATTTGTTATGGGAGTTGGGTACGAAAATTGAAACTTGCGAAGCAAATCTGAACCATCGCGCAATTATAGATCTGCACAATGTTCAAGCTCTTTTGGACGGAGAACATTGCGCCAAACCTTGGGCAAGCAACAGTTGAAACATTTAGGACATGACCATCTAATCTATGAATTTCGATTATCACTTCGCCGCTCCATTCCCATTTTCCACAGTCATTAGTTGAGCACAATAATTTGAAGTTTATTACTTTCAAATGTGATGGCATTTCTTTTTGACCCGGGTGGGTTGTGCCTCTTGCAGTGGTGGCAGACAATACATCCCTGGTCAGCATCATGCGCATCATCGACCCCCACCGGAACAACCGTGAGTGCCCATTTCTCATCATTTTTAGGCTGTGCAACTGGTTCAGCTTTGGCTGGAATCGAATTTGAATCTAACGGTGCCGGACAATGGCCAATCGTATGGAATGGAATTCCGAAACTTTTACTGAACCCCTTGAGTGGCCGTTTTTGGCAGGTTTGGTCCCGTGCAAAAGACTGTAGCGTGCTTTATGAAGTATACTTATTTATCGAAGACACAGCGATCTGTGGGCTCAAAGTTAATTCGTGGCTGCATGCCCCCAAACTTTTTCTCAAATTGTACTTTTCGAGACGCGGTGCTACGCAAAGTGGCACCTCGGCCTCGGAACCTATTGTCACTCTCTTCGAATGGCCTCGACCAACATTTCTTTATTTGGAACTAGGACCTTCTCATTTGGTTAATTACTAAATTAGTTTACATGACTAATTTTTAGATCTAAGCGTTCGCCGTAAAGCGCTAGGTAAAACGACATAGATTCGCCCTTCTGGAACGGCAAAGGGGCGAACCGAAACAAAAAAGTCCCGCAAACGAAACTTTCCGCATGCCATCAACGGGTATAACATTGCTCTACACGTGAAAACAAACTCCTCAGACCAGTTGGGAGGTCAAAAGAAAATAAAAACAAACTTCTGTGGGAGCATGCCCGCATACATTCTGGCGCGGCACTCGAAGACAAAGACCAGGGAGCATCGAATGTGTCCTGCACATTCGATGCTCCTGGGATTTAGCTGGATTTTTATTCTTTGTATTATCAATATATATTGCAATATCTTATTTTCTATTGATTTTTATGTTATTTTTATTATGGTTTTGTTTAGTTATTCTATTTATTTTTCTATTTTTATTTATTTTGTTGTTTATTTTTACTAATTTTATTATTTTCATTCGAAACCTGCCGCTCTAGCCGTTACGTTTTCATTAAAATAAATTAATTTTTTTACCATTTCGGACCCTCTGTTTTACTCAGCTCAGTGGCTTTAGTATCTGACTGCCACTGCACCGACCCAGCTTTGAACCCCGCCGGGGCTCGAACTTTGTGTGTGAACTTAAATATACAACCTTAACGTACATACTAATGCTCGCAGCGTGTTGCTCGGTCATGACGCTTGCTACGACGCTCATTCGTGACACTTTTCTCATAGAAAACTACCCACGAAACAGATTCTGTGTTGAATGTAAACTTTTTTGATACTTCCCATAATGCCAACTAAGGCAGGATGTGTCATGTGCTTGTGTCCTAGTTTCTAACCGTTTTGACCTATTCAGTCTCTTTTGCCCGTTGGGCTTCTGGATTTATAAATCACCCCGATTAGGACAGCGGGCCATTTTCATAGGTTTAATTTTTTTGTCAAAATCTGTCCAGAATGTCGCTCTTTCTAAACTTTAACGTCATTTGCGCACCTCGGCCCTCATTCTTGACGCCCGGTTGTGCAGGAGACCTTCATGTGTTCAGGATTCTCTGCAAGGACCTCGGGGAAACGGTGAGGCTCCCGTTCTGGAAATGGATGGGGATTCACACTTGGAACACATAGAGCCTTTCTCTCGTGTCTAGTGTGTGACCACACTGAGTGTTTTGGGTAATGTTTGAAGAGGTTTAGCTGGCTGCTTGAATGCAAGCTTAATAGAAGCAGCAACCCCTGGCTGTGTAGAAGCTTTACTGTTTTTCTTGTTGTCTAGTCGGCATGTCAGTGCAGTAAAGAATTTGCTGTTGCTCTCACACTACATAGTGTTTTGGTGTACCGCTGAGTCTCGACTTTGGCTGAAACCTTTAAAGTTGCAGCATAAATCAGCTTTTAGCATAGGACGACGTCAGGGACAGCACGCCTAGTTGGCATGCTGTCCCCAATGTCGTCCTAGGTGGCGTCCTAGAAGCCATCCTTGTCGTTCTAGATGCCATCCTAGAGGTTGTCCTCGATATTTTAGTAGAAGTTGTCCTAAACGCGGTCATTGACGTTGTTTTATACACCGTTCTAGACGCCGTCCTTGAACTAGGCTTTGATGTGGGCACAAATATATTAGAACCGTTTCATGACCGTACCAGTTCTTTTCCTGATTGTTTTCGCTACTGACATTCCTGTAAAGCTACCGCATTTCATCGTGTTTGGTCAAATGAATGTGCGTGCAATTGTTTTTTTGATGTGTAAAAGACGTTCTGGCAATGTGGTGGAAGTGAAGCATGTCTCTCTCTGATGGCAGGGCCTGGAACTGAGGGTTGGCAACAATGCCTCGGCCAGTCTTCCGAACCCTGCCAGGAACCAGGCTTCGGTCAAGTGAGTGCAGAGCCTTTGTGTTGCGGGCCTTTGTGGTGCGGGCCTTTGTGGTGCGGGCCTTTGTGGTGCAGGCCTTTGTGGTGCAGGCCTTTGTGGTGCAGGCCTTTGTGGTGCAGGCCTTTGTGGTGCAGGCCTTTCTGGCGCAGGCCGTCTTGTTGTTCTCGTACAACCCCGTGCCTTTTGCTCGGACCAAAATTTGCCGAAAAATTTGCTTCTACATCTTCCCACTTTACTATGGTCTGTTGCAACTCAAGAAGGCAGGGCGAGGGTAAGACAAGCCGGGGAGGAGGAAGCAAACGGAACGCTGCAGAAGAGAGGGGGAAACCTCCTCCTCTCTGTAGTCTTCAGTCTGCTTCCTCCTCCCCGGCCCGTCTTAACGTCGCCCTACCTTCTTCAGTTGCAACGGACTATAGAGCAAATGCTGTTCGCTCTGCTAAATTGGAAAGAGGTAGGAGGAGCTTCCCCTGAACTCTTAGCCGCTCACTATAAGTAACTTGCAAACAGATTTTTAATTGCTACATTTGAAAGTGCAGATTTACTAGTTATGTTGCTTCAAAGGGTCGTATCCAGGCTGTTTGCAAGCATGCAGTCAAATCTCGTTAATTCAAACTCTAAGGGGACTGAAAATTTGTTTGAATAAAGCAAAGTTTAAATTATCAAGAGTATCCCCCCATCGAGACACATAGGATGAAACCTGCATGTTACTTTGAATTATCTGCATGTCTGAATTAAGAGAGTTTGAATTAACGAGATTTTAATGTATTTTGAAAAACAAAGTTTTGCTTCCGGTGCGTTTCGATTCAGAGTTTGGATCTGAGCAGATTTTTCGAGAGTTGGATATCTTATAAGTAGGGTTTTGTGTTTTCGAACAAATCAAAGAAACTCCGAAAAACACTCGCCAATAAAATTTTTGCCAATTCGGATATTAGTTTCGCTTTTGCAGTGCGCTTTTCTAGAGGATGGAAGCTCGATGAAGTCTTCAGTTTTGTTATCTTGAGGTGCGCGCAAACAACGTGAAAAAAAAAAATACTGTCTCTTGTTTATTTTTTTATTTTTTCATATTTGGCCGTAATATTAAGACGTTGAATTTTGTTCTGCTAGCTCACGTTTTGGGTTGTCTCTACCTATCGAGGAAGGCGCCTACTAAAACTCCCTAATTCTACAATGACACAACCACACATATGCACATTTATATATTTAACATTTGATAGATGCTTAAAACAGTCAGTAGTGTAGTGCAACGCAACGCTTGGAGTTGGTAATAACGTCATCTCGCAAGAGAATGCCGGCGGCGCTACCGATTTTAGCCGTCCCAGTAGTGCCTCATTTGGCCACAGTGGCGCTGATGATCAACCGATGCTGGCGCACTCTGGAACCCTGCCCAGAGCCTATTGCTGAGGAGCAATGTTTGATCGGGCTTCCATCTAAGATTATCACTTCTTGGCAGGCTTTTTAGTAAAATCTGACCCTTGCTCCACTAAAAAAGGTGCCTTTTTCGCCCACAATGTGCAAGGAAGTGAAAGTGATAGCTGCAGCACCTTCGCGCGATACGGGAAATCTGGTGTTGCCGCAAGCTCGAGGATGGTGCATGACGACGCCATTTTTCCCACATTGTGCGAGCGTGTTACAGCCTTTTACTTCTTTGCACGATGACGGGAAAACCTGCGCCAATGCAAGCAAGACGCAGGATTTCTCGGTGACGTCGAGCGGTGAAGGGAGGGGGTTAACGTTGGACGTTCAGCGATGAGCAGAGTGAGGGACCCAGAGAAAAGAGGCAAGCTCTGCAGGCAAGGAAAGGTGACGAGTTTTGGCAGACATAGTTTACGTTTCGGGGTGCGTTTGAGAAGTAGAGATGTTATGCTGAAATTTTCCAAAACCTTTCAATATTACGCATAGCAGTTGGATACTGCCAAGGTGGGATTTCGTATTACGCGAAAAATGTTATTAAACACCTGTTTTGAAGTTGTCGTTAGCAGACGACGCTTCCTCGTTGTCGCACCATTGTCATGAGGGCTCTCCTCTTCCCCCTTTGTGCGGTGTGACCCATGGGAAAACCAGACTTCTGTCTTGTGCCATGAGGGGAGGAAAGGTTTTTGTATCTCTGCTACGACGACAGACTGCCAACACAGACATTGAAATCAATGCAAGTGTCACCGGCAACGCTATCGCTTTAAAACTCATTATTAAATAGCTTTTGGCAGCTTGCTGTTTATTGGCCCAAAGAAGCTCAATGTTTATAATTCTTCCACCTCTGGCTGTTTGGGAATAGGCTTGCACCGTATAACAACCCCTTGGAGACTAGTTCACACGTACGGTTGGTTGGTTTACACATACAATGCAGCGCTACCTCAGTGCTGAATCAACACCATGGAAACAGCACTGGTGCGAAGCTGTCTTGAACATAGCAGCACTTTTTCAAATATAATTAGCAGTGACACGATGCTGTATCAGTGTGGTACACTAACATAGCGCGAAGTAGGTAGGTGCTAAAATGACAATATTTCTAGTGCCAGCTTCGTGCTGCACTGTATGTGTGAATAGGCCTATACAACTCGGTGCTTACTCGTCGCTGACTTTGTGCTATGTCAGCACCAGCTTTGTGCTGTATTGGTGCTCCACTGTATGTGATCTGGCCTTTTCAAGTTTACACATAATGCAGCACAGAGTCAGCAGCTCTCCGCTGCATGTATGAGCCGGTCTTTATGACGGACTCTGGGTCACAATGGCTCTCCCAGAGTGCTTAATAGAAAAATCTTGGATTTGTCACAAACTTTTGGTCAACCTTAAATGTTGCGACCCCTGTGCACGCACACACACACGCACACAAAAAGGTGACTGTTTTTTAAATAATGTTTTGTTTTTGTGGAAAAACACATATTAGGTCAAAAGAGCAGACCTGGGCAACACATCGCCTGTTGCGTCGCGTCCGTCCGCGACGTCTGATATCTGCAGCTGACCCATAAATACGCCCCTGGGTTCAGATAAACGGCAATAATGACTTTAAGCAGCAGGGTGACTGCAGCATACTTCTTGCGAAACCCATCCTATTTATTGGCTCTACTTGTACCTTTTTGACTAACGCTGTCCCGCGGTCCCTCTCCTCCAGGTTTGTGTGTGGGCCACCCAGCAGCGTGGAACTGCACGTCAAGAGTCCCAAGGGCAGCCGGGCCGCCTCCTGCCCCACCGAGGGGGACAAGGTGCGCGCACTCTTTTAAGGAAGTTGTCACCTTTCTCCGCACAAAGCGTCGAGGCAGGGCGTTGGGTTTTATTCTCGGGACACCCCCGGTCAGTTGTTCTCCGCAGGGTTGCACATTTGCACAGACAAAGAAAGCCGCAGTCACACTGCTGTTACGTCATACAAAAGACGGTCTGCAGACTGAGGCGCGTTTCTTTTTTGTATGGCAGTCCTGTCACGTTGGTTGCACAAAAACTGTCTTGGGACATGTTTGAACATGCTTAGAAGCAAACATGCTTCGAACATGCTTGTAGCACATCTTCAGATGATCCTGCCATCACGTCTTCAGCAAATGCCGTGTCTTTTGTATGATGTACGGACAGTGTGACTGCAACTATGCTGAAATCTGAGGAACTTGACGTTGGAGACATCTTAAGTCACTTCGCCGCCGCCCATTTAAACTTTATTCAAAGGAACAGGAACTCCCCGACATTGTTTTAAAATATTTTTATAGGACATCTATGTTTTACACAAGATTTACCCAAAAAGAAAAAAAAAAAATGTAGAGCAATATTTACATTGCGTGGCTCATTTGAACGATTCCGAAACACCCTTCCGTCAAAGTGTGAGACTGACACTCCTTTGGTAGAAAGACATACACTTTTGGAAATGCAACATTTTACGGGAAGATCTAACTATACATCTCTAAGAAAACTGCCTGTTGCACGCAAATGATATCCCGTCCTTTGGTTTCCGCCAAGTGGCCCGCTCAAGCCACTGAACGAGTAGTGTTTCAAAGTATCGACGCTTCAGCCAACGAAATTGGGCGTGGAAAGAAAATCACAAGATTGTGCCACATTCGCTGCGCATGATTGGTTCAGCTGGCAATGGCAAACGCGCATGGATGACAAGCAGCATGACGATGCACTTTTGGCACTGCTTGATTCGCTTCATCAAATTGTGAAGTTGGCCGCAGTTGGACCTAATGGGAAGGGGAATGTAGTGTTTATCGTAAGGCCGTGGTGTCCGTTCCACCGTAATGCCTCCTCGTGGCCTCCTTGCGTCGGCTGTAAGGCCGCACCTTGTCAACGTGGTTTGCCGTTAGGCAGGAGGGCTTAGGCATACCCCCTTTCTGTGTACGGCGGCGCAGGTGTGCGTGCTGAGCTCCCAGGAGGTGGAAGTGGAGGTGGTGGTGAAGGACCCCCTCGGGCGCAAACTGGCCAATGTGTCCTCCCTGGACGTGCACTGGGAGCTGTCGGACTACTCCCTGGCCACGCCCAGCAGCCACCGGGACCTGCTGATCCACACGGACGGCTCCGCCGGCTACCGCAGGGTCTCGCGCAGTGAGTGCCGGACCGTGTCTCAGCCGACGCGCGATTGATATGTAGCCGATCTGCGTCTCGCGTGCACCCAACATGTGTGTGACATGTGTCCGACTTGCAGTCAACATATGTCCGATGTGCAGCCAACATGCAGCTGTGATGGTCCAACGTACGACCATCACACTGCCAATATGCTGCCGACATGCATCCAACATGCCACAATGAAGTGAAGTCAGAAAGAGTGCCGTATGCATCTTGGGACTTGACTCGATCCTGCCCGATGCAATAGAATGGCAGTGCCTCTAGTTTCTTTCTGGGTTAAGGACAGCGGTTGGGTTGGATGCAGTGGTACAGGGAGGGTCTTCAAGGTGGCAGAACTCTCGCAAAAAACAGTGCCTTGGTTGCTTTTACAGCGATAGAATTTATGGGCTCTTTGCACCGCTGGAAATGACGTCGGTTGTTGATGTTGTAGCAGTTATGGTAGTTGTCATTGTTGATGTTGTAGTTCGTGATGAAGGGCGTCTGTCGTCAACGTTGCCAAATCCTCGAAAAAAAATTTCCCACCCTATAAAAAAATGTTGTTGCAGCACTGTCAATGCCAAGAGCTCTTGCCGGGAAATGCACTCCTAAACAAAAAAGAATTGAAAGCATTCGGAACAAAACAGATGTCTGTCTCGTTCCAAACTCTTTTGTTCACGCGCTCCAAGTGCGAGAATGGGACACCTATGCCCTACAACTTACCGTACCTGAGGATTAACGCGGGACTGCTTATTTTTCGGGTTAAGGATGGCAGTTGGGTAGGATGCAGTGGTGAACGCATGATCTTCAGCCCCATCTGTCACTGTTGGGGAAGATACCGTGGCCTTCAACAGTGGGGCTGTACTTGACACGGAAAGGAAAGGGATTGGTCCTTCCAAACGCTGCCCCAGCGGCTGTGTCTCAGGGCTGCAGTTTGCTGTTTGGGAAGCTCTGGGAAGATGTGCACAAACGGTGGTTTTCTGTTGGTCCGGACAGTCGTCCCTGTTCTAGAGGCCGATCTGGTCCATAATCGTTCCAACGATTTGTTCAGCCAAAATATTGTAGCCAAGGGTTCATTCTGAAACTGAAAATGAATTTCTAGTGTCCGAAGCAGGTTCTTGGCGAGTCGAGTCTCGGCGATTCAAAGTCTGCCTACATGCCCCAGTCAACCACACCGCTTGAAATAGTAGAGTTTTATGGCCTATTCGACTGGGGCACACCGCACCTGTCTAGTGCGTTTAACTCTTTCCACTTTAGTACACGAAAGACTGGCGGGGAGAGAAGGAAGCTCCCCTCTAGCCTTCCGTATACCACGAACCGCACTGCACCTGTGCGATGCGGGCGCCAGACAAATTTGCCATTAGAGTAGGGGGCCCGAAACCTTGGGGGCCCCAAAGAAATGGAGAGATACTACGGTATGCATCAGCGGGTGGCTCAAATCTTCTAAAATCATACTTCAACAGGGAAAACCTTTACATGCGGCTAGAGACTCGAAGGAATTTCCGAGCTTGGGAAGACCCCCCCCCCCCCCCCCCCCCCAGAGTCTGGAAACTTCGTTTGAGAACCCATGATCTAGGAAATTGGTTGATTAGTTTCAGGGCCACTTAACCAATGTCTCTATGACTTTTTCGACGACCCGCCGGGTTTGTTCGGTGTGGGCAATGACGAGTCGGTCAGAATCTGAGGAGTCTTCCTACGTATAGACTTCCAGGTGATCCGGCCCAAGCAGAAGTCCGGGGCCTTGACCGTGACGGCCAAGATTGTGGGCTACAACCACCAGATCCTCAGGCACTCCTCGCTGCCCAACGTGGTAAGCAAACCGCCCTCTTCCAAAGCGGAACTACCGCGTCCCAAAAAGTGGTTCCTCGATTTTCGCCTGACCTTGTGGAAGTGTCACGCCTTTGCCGTCCGCGATCCTGGCTGTGCCGCAGCAGTGGTAATAAATGTGGCCGACGCATGTTTCGCTGCTAGAGTGTCCACGGAAGCCGGGAGGTGGAACGCCGCGACTGTCAACTGCCAGGATTACAATGTCCTCAGCACTACACTCTAGCTTTTGTGACATTATTTGTTTCTACTTGTGAAGCACTTGCGGCGGAATAGGACTCTGAACATGCCAGTTGTAGACACTTTCCAGTCATCATAGTAGAACTGACGTGGCTTTCAAGGTTTCTCGAAGATAACGATCCAGAGCCGCCAGGCTTGGGCAGTTCTGAGCGTTGCTTGCTGGGATTGAGAGTTGGAGGGAAAAACTTCCTCGCTCACTTAGGTCGTCTAAAATTGTTACAGCACTTCTCCAGCGCTAGTACGGTTAGGGTGAAATTGCTTCTGTAACTGCCGATGAAAGCAGTGCCTCAAACTTCTTAATCATAGGCCCCCCCCCCCCCCTAAAATGTTTTTTTTTTTTTGCTGCTCTTATTAAATTAGGTTTTTGAAGATGCTAGAAATACTGCCTTGTTCATTTATTTATTTACTAATACTGCTCACTTTTTTGTGAACGCCTAGCGGCGTGGTGGGAATGACATTGCTCATTTCTTTAATGGATTATGTGGCTCGGTATTCAGTCGCTGACCGATTTTTCGGTCTTCACAGGGTCCGGAAAATTGTCCGAGTAATTTAGCAGTCCGAAAGATCAGCAGATTAAAAATCTTGCCTTTATTATGTCTAAACGAGGTTTAAAATGGCCGTAAATAGTGCCTTGCTTCGAGTTACGCCTGCACGGCTTGTTTTAGGTTACGCCTTCGTTTGTGTTCGGCAACTTTCTGTTAGCTTGAGAATCGCTGCCTTCTTTTGAATGAAAAAATGCTGTATGAGGGGGAAAAGGGAGAGGCGGCCCTAGCAAAATCAGATTTGGGGGGGGGGGGGAGGGGGAAGGGCTATGGGGCTGGGCCCCATGGCCCCCTTCTCCCCTCCCACTGGCTATGTGCCTGATACTGGTAAACATGTATGTTTTTGTTGCATTATAATGTACAACTCGCACTGTGGATGATTTTGGGGGGAGCGGAGATGTCCCTTTTTGCAAGGCACAACTGCATTACTACTCGGTGTTTCTTAGTTCAGCCTGATGTCACCTTTTACTCTTACTGCATAGCACTTCCCTTCCAGGGGAACTGGTAGTGTTAGTAGGCCTAATGCTTGGCAAGTTTGTGAGGTGCTGATTTGGTGATTGACAATCCAGCATGCGGTCAGTCCGACGGTGAGCGGCTCTGTGAGCTTGGACCTGGTGCAACCAGCCCGGCTGTCGTCTTCGAAGGTGTCGGTCTTCAATCATCCGTCCCACTCGGTGAGTAGCCACTCGTGGTCCCTTGGCGGCTACAAATGCCTGTTCAAGCGAATCGCTGCACTTCTGGAGATTTGTTTTCCAAGCCAGCATATGCTATCGGACTTCTGAAATGATGAAAGGTCTTCGACATGCAGCTAAAATTTTAATAGAATGTTATAGGTTGCCTGCAACCTTTCATTGGGACATGCAAGCTTTTCTCAGGACGTGCGACCTTTCGTCAGGATGTGCAAAACTGTTGGGATGTGCAACCTTTCGTTGGGATGTGCAACCTTTCGTTGGGATGTGCAACCTTTCGTTGGGATGTGCAACCTTTCGTTGGGATGTGCAACCTTTCGTTGGGATGTGCAACCTTTCGTTGGGATGTGCAACCTTTCGTTGGGATGTGCAACCTTTCGTTGGGATGTGCAACCTTTCGTTGGGATGTGCAACCTTTCGTTGGGATGTGCAACCTTTGTTAGAGGCCGACGTACACTTCGTGCTTTACACTTTTGCTCGCCTCCTCCTTTTACTATATGCCATCTGGGAATTAGGCCGGCACTTTGGGTGCCACGTGGCACCACCTCTGTCTCAGAGGCAGTCTTCCTTTAGGACCCTGTGCCTGTCCCAAGTTGTGTCTGTGAAGTCTGCTCATCCCCAGGGTTTCCCCGTGACTGTGTGTTCTCCCGGCTTGCAGGAATTGTAGAAAGGTTTGGCCACCACCGGGGCAGCAGCGCATGTGCCGGCAAACCGAAGCGTTCGGTCGATCGGCAGTCATCCCTCCAAATGCTCGCTTTGCGACCTAACACCCTTCTTGACTAACACTTGTCCCTCTGGTGGTGGCCATGAGCACTTTAGCTCCCTCAGTGTTAGCAACCTCGAGTTGTTTGCACCCCCCCCCCTCCACCCCCTCTGCTCCGCTTTGCATGTGGACGGTGGGCAGTACAAAATAAAACATTTGTCAGGATATTGGTGCGGTGGTGTTTTTTTTTCCTTTTGCGACTCTTAACTATATCTGTAGCAGGAGTAACAGATAAAGTTAAAAGGCAGAAAACTTTATTTGACACATAAATGTGGTTCAAGAAATTATATTGTATAGTGCAGCAGGAAAATTGTCAATAGAAGACTATATAATTTTTTAGTATTTGAAAACATCTCCGTATTACTCGATTGATCCCTGATGCTTTGGTATTAGCATTTTGCAATGCTAATACCATTAAAAAAGGACACTACCTAACAATTGTCAATTTTTTTAAAGTCAATTTTTCATCTAGTTTCTTAGCTTGCAAATCACCTGATGGCTGTTGCCAGGAAATTTCACTCCTGCAACTAAAGCGTTTTTTATGGAAGAAATTTTTTTGGCATGCCGGAAGCATCTAAGGGGTTTTTCACGTTTTAAACTCTTTCATCCCTGTTTGTTTTTTCCCATCAAAACTCTCTTCAGCAAGATAATCACTTGGTAATGAAGTGATGTGTGGAGCCAATTTTTGGGGTTTTCATTCTGAAATTTTGTAAGGAATGTAACTGAACTTTCTGCATTTTCATGCTCTATTGTTATAAAACGCTGCAAATACTTCACCTTATGCACACACACAAAAAAAGAAAGAAATGTATTATCGTATTCACTCGCATAATAAACGCACTCTCATATTGAACGTACCCCCCACAACGAGCATCAATATTCAGACTTTTTTCTTTCCCTCCCGTAATCAACGCACCTCCAATTTTTGGATCCGCGAGTCTCGAATTGCGTCCAATTTAGGAAGCCACCAAGTCAGTTTTCTTTTGCCGCTAAGCAGTCAGACCAAGCCAAGCAAAGCCGCTCTCGTAATGGCCGCGAGTGCGTAGTAATTGCGGAAGTGATCGACCGTGAAATCGAATGTCGCGCACTCGTTTGTTTATTTACCCTTGAGTCGAGGAATTGCCAAGCCCCGGACATTCTTCGCTTATCGGGTGTATTGTAGTCGACAAACAAGCTGTCTGTGGTCCGCTTTCGGACAGTGAAATCGTGAAAGTGGTTAGGCCTAATTTCACATACTCCAGGTAAATGTGTTTATTTAATCCGTAACAGAACGGCACACCGAGGTGCACGCTGCGTTGTAGGCCGAGAGTGTCTGGTAGCGTCTCCGTGAACGAAACTTGATCCGTGCAAGCGGGTTCAGCGGTTGGACTTTGTAAGAATTTTTATACGCGTAGTCGCAGATATACCTGAGCGTGCCGCCAGATACTAGCAATATATATTGCCTAAGAATGGTTGTGTTGCTTTTCGTGCTGAGTGAGCTTCGTAGGGCGCTTTTTTTTCGGCAAAAGGCACCCCGAAAGCGCCCTAAAAAGATTTGCAATTTACAAAGTATGGTTATTGTAGTGCATAGTTAAAAATTGCGCACAAAGGGACAAGGAAGGAGCACAGACAGGTGTACACTCACAACTTTAGTATATTAAGTGAAGAAAAGAAAGTTGAAGCACAATTTTTTACAGGGTACAACGTCACCAGGGGGACATTGTCTCCTGTAAAAAATTGTGCTTCATCTTTCTTTTCTTCACTTAATATACTAGAGTTGTGAGTGTGTGCCTGTCTGTGTTCTGTGTTCCTTCCTCGTTTGTCCTCGTCCCTTTGTGCGTGATTTAACTATGTTCAACGTTTACCAACTCGCCCAGCTTACTACTCTTCTACATTTTATTGTGGTGCACCCCCGACCAGCCGCGGGTGTGCTTCCATCACTGGAGACGTGCCACAGTACCTTGCCATGTCATATTGGCACCTAATATTACATTTGCAAGAAGTGTGTAAATGCAAGAAATTTTACCCCGTAGAATGCCCCCCCCAACTATGAGTCAATTTTTCAGGAAGAAAGTGTGTTCATTATGCGAGTAAATACGGTATTATTTTTTATTGGAAATTGCTTCTGTAATTGTCCACAACTGCATGACACAGGTGTTATGCTTTATGTTTCACCACAATAACCGGCCATTATCCTTGCCATTTCTAAACAATAGTTTTCCTCAAGGCACAGTGTTCATTGGATGTACTTTTATACAACTTTTGAAAAGTATTATTTTCTAAATGTGAAACTTTGCATGGTCACATCTTTTCCAATGTCGAATATACCCTGCAAATTTTATGCAAATCAGAGTACCGGTTCAAAAATTTGCCTTTTAGAGTTGTGTATTCCCTTACAGGGTCAGTACAAAGATTTTAACGTTGAGAATTTGCAACATGTATTTTTTATAAATTTTGTCTCGACAAAAGTGATGGAAAAGACGTCACCCTCCCTCAAAATGTTGAAATTCTGCTGCATAATTGCAGTGAAAAAAAATTGATTATATTTAAATTTGTTGCCACGTATTGTGGTCTCGGATACTATGATGTGATGTCATGGAGGAAACTCTGTTTTAGACTAAAAAGCTGTGAAATTTTCTGCTCTATTTAAGGTTAAGAGGAAACCTGGGAATTGAAAACCAAAAAAATTGTGAAAAAGTTCCTCTAGTTTCTTTTTGGGTTAAGGACAGCATTTGTGTCAGATGCAGTGGTACAAGGAGGATCTTCAGGGTGGCAGGACTCTCACAAAATACAGTGCCTCCAGTTTCTTTTGCAGCGATAGGATTTATGGACGCATTCCACCACTGGAAAGGACGTCAGTTGACGTAGTTGTAGTAGTTATGGTGGTTGTTGATCTTGTATTTGGCAGTGTAGGGCATCCATCATAAATGTTGACAAATCCTTGAAAGCAATCTCCTGCCACCTGTGGGAATTGAACCTGGGTGCGCTGCGTCCGAAGCAGAGGTGTTATCGCTGAGCTATGCCACAGTGTTAACAACCCACTCTATGCTTCGGGCTCTCGACAGTTACATTTTGTATACAATTTTGGGAATCAGTTGGCGACGGGGCAGTTTCGATTGAACAGCCGTTGTCTCCAATCGCGCTACTAAGCACGTGCAACTCCAAGCCTACCGAAGTTGCCCTCACGTGCATGCGAACATGATTGCACGACAGAGGCACCAGCTGGGACGCTTGCAATTTATTGTTTTACATTTGCTTACTTTTAACAAAATCTGGCACGTTGGGAACCAGTGAAACGGTGGCAAGCAATTTTTTGGAACTGCTCGGCAACGCCTACAGCACTGTACACTTGTGGGATGTCTCAGCAGTAAAAGCACAAGCAGTGAGTTCCGTCACAACACGTCACATCATCGACGCTATCACGCGGCTACGGTGGAACGCTTGCGTCTGCCGCTTTGCACCATTCTCTCTTCGAGCTTCAGCGCATTTGCCGCTTTCGGGCGTTTCAAAGATCCACTGGCGATGAACTAATGAACAAGCCTCGTCTTCTAGATTGTAATGGATGGATGGATATGGCTTAACCCTTTACAAGGGCACTGAAAGATCCAAATAATTTTTTTAAGAACCGGAACTATTTAAAACGTTGCCGGGACAATACCCTCAGAATTGGAAGCTTGGCAACTCAGTATATGTTAAGTAAAGAAACAATTTCCAAAAGCCGAATTCGAAGCTCCCACGCGATCCACGCCTATGCAGCGACGTCCAAGATTGGGCTGTCCTGTCACTAGAGTTTCCCTTGCACCTCCGAATTGCCCCGACCGGAAGTGTTGTGTTTGCCCGCATCCCATGATCCACTGCTCTTCTTTGGGCGTGCCGCTTATTACTGAGTGGGCGACATTTCACTTTAGAGTTTGAAGTTTTTTTGGAGGTTCTTTCTGCGATCTCGAGTTCTTCGAAACGGTGCGAGGTTGAAGATAATGCGCAGTGGACTTCTCCGAGTGACGTGAGGAACCAAATCGCGCCGGTTCTGCTGAGAGGCTGCCTCGGCGTGGTTGCAAACGAAACTATGGCGCACACACACCAAACCCAGTTATTTTGACTTCCTCAATGCTACGACATGTGCCGAGCGTCGCTATGTTTTTCGAGCGAGGATAAAAAACCAGGAGGCGACATCACTTCTGGACTCAAATTTTCAGTATTTTATAAACAAGGGCTGTAGTGTGTTCGCAATTGCTTTAAAAATGTGTTTTATGAATGTCGTCATTCTAGAAATGTTGATTACAAAACTTCTACATTTTATAATCGATTACATCGCAAATAAGAAGTGAGGGGGTTAGGAGAGGGAGAGAACACCAAAAATAAGACTGCACGTGCGTAGGTAAATATTTTTCGTGTTGTGGCAGTTTTTTTCATGTCTATGACTACAACTTGCATCCTTTTAGTCAAGAAAATAATACAACCTTTGGAATGTCGGTGTCCCTCTTTATTTGGGTGGAGGTTTGCGCCACCTAGCCGAAGCTTTCAATTTGAACAATTACAGTCTCCGCGAAGTAGTTTTAGTAGTGAAAGTATTCTGATACCACAATCAACATGTTTCTGAACTGAAATTTTCTGGGGAATTGGGCTATCTACTTTATTTTGTTTTAAGTTTAAGCCCTTAGTGATAAAAAACTTTTCAAAAATTGACATAGGACAGATATGCATCTCATATTTTGAGGTAATAACTCTTCCGGTAACAATGCCCAAAATATGATAAGGGTAGGCACTTCACGATATGCAGTTTTTTCTAGTCTTTCTGGTACAGTGTAGACCGCATTTAACGTATGTCGCGGGAGTCGCGAAAATCCGCACTATAAGCGGTACCGCGCTATAACCAAAACATAAATTTTTCAGGCCAGAATACATGCCATCAGACAACTTACCTTTGTAAAACAATTTATTTTATGTTAGATGAAAAATAAAGCTTAGTTTGAGGAAAGTCTTTATTTCACCAGACTAGTACACTTCTCTCTCAAGTGTGTCACACATTTTTAAAGAAATGAGCGACTTTCGCCTGGTGCTGCCTTTTAACGGCGTCGCGGGTTGCGGACGGACGTTGCTAACGTCTGGATTGCTAACCCTAATCACTTTTCTCCGGCGATGAAAACGCGTGAAAATTCGCATCCTTTATACGGTTTGCGCCAGTAATACCTTCAACTTGAGCACAGGCACGAAATGCTCCAAATAAGAAATCCGGGCGATGTTTGAAAACACAAATGCCTAGAAAGCACCACTGTAGTCGAAGTAAACAAACACGACGACACGGGCGTTACTGCCATTTTGAGAGTGCCGCCACAACATCGCCGCACGAGTAGGTGGATCTTCCCTTGTAGTACGTGCTGGGTTATCGTAGCGACACACAACGAAAATTCACTGTCAAGGATAGCGCTTTTACGCGGAACGATGAGCGACGATCTTAACCGACGCCATGTTTGCGGATAGAAGCAGCCGGCCCACGACTGGCATGCAACGCGCGCAAACACTTCTCCTCGACCTGCGATTGGTCTGTCGTTGCGGTTGTTTCCAATGCAGCGGAAGGACGCACGCACGTGAACGACACTTGGATGCCTCCTTCCGTCGCTATGGCAACTGAAGCCTCCCTCTTCGCTTCTCCCCGCTTCTTCGAGCAACCTCCTTGCCCCGCGAGTGCGGCTCGCGGCTAGCGTCGTTATCTCGTGTCGCGCAGGGAAGCGTGCGGTCGGCGGGCTGTTCCAGAAACCGCACTATAACCGGTATTTCCCTTCGTGCGCCTGCATTTTAGGCGGTATGTAATTACATGGAGATCTATGGGAGGCGAACCGGTGGATTAAAAAAGCCGCGTTATACCCGGTCCTGCACTATAAGCGGTTACTTTGTAAGTGGTCTATACTGTACCTTCGTTTACGCAGTTTTTCAGCACGTTTTCTTTACGTGCACGCTTACTTTGCACCGATAGCAGCGTGCCTGCCGGAAGCGGGCCACGGGTTGGGCTACGTTGGAAGAAGCACGGCCAGCTGCTGGTTGGTCAGAAGGCCTCCGCGGTCCTGATTTGGCCCACGGGCCTGGGTTTGGAGACCCCTGCTTTAGAGCATTGTAGTAGCATGAGAGGAGAGCGGCAAATGAGCCTCCATGTTCAGGCAATTCCAATATTGTGTTTCTAACGTGGAATGTGTTTACTGCGTCCAAAAAAAGGGGTCCTTGGATCACCGCCAGATGACATCGTAGGAGCGTCATGCTGTCGCCGACCGCGATCCTGGCAGCGTCGCAGTGGAGGTGGTGGCTGTGGCAGACGCCTGTTCCGCTGCAGGTTCCTCTCCAGTGTGCCTATCCACAAAAGTTTCGGCAGCCAGAAGTTGGGATGCCACGACAAGAGCGTCGCTCGCATTCGCTAGTGCTTTTGCCAGCATTTCTTCGACAGACTGCCAGGATCGCAACATCCGACAGCAGGACACTCCGGCTTCCTTGACGTCATTTCTTGCCACTTCAGGACGCTGAGATGTGCTGCAGGCGCCATAGTTCCGGTATTACAGCATACCGATGAGAACTGCACGTGCCCCCGTCGAATCTGTTGAAATGTCTGCAGAGGACAGTTGGTTTGTTATCTGCTATTGAGATCGGGCACATTCCCTTTCCTTTTTTGCCCCGACGATTCCGTTGAAGTGCCCGGATGTATGTAGATAGCACTGCAGTCAAACAAAATAGTTGTGCCCAGAGAGCCCTTAGTGGATGGTCTATAGATGAAACTGAACCGCTAAGTTTGGCGAGAGAACTGCTAACTCGGCAACCCTGTATGCAGGCAAGCGTGAGCCTCCAGGATGGCTCAGGCTCCTTCCAGCTGGAGTGCTCGGACCCTGCCAAGGCCAAGGTCACCTTGGACGCTGCCACCCGGCAGATCAAGGTGGGCTCTCGGCCTGTGGGCTGTCGGATGCTACTTTTTTTGTTTCTGTTCATTTGGAAAGGGGATTGATTTATCGGTTGATAGATTTGGCTTTAAAGGGGCACTAAGATGAATTTCGAGATCGTCTTGTCATGGCGCAAACTCAATTTACACACCCTAGGCGTTTTATAATACCGATAATTACAATTGCATATGGCCTTTTTCGCTCTTAAAAACTTGAATGCTGACGTCCGGATGTTCGCTGGGGTCCAGACATTTGGCAGACATTTGCCAGAGTTGAGTCATTTGCCAGTCACTTACTGAATGTTCACTGGACGTTTGCCAGATGTTCGCCGGAGTTTGGCCATTTGCCGGAATTCGAATGTCCACCAGATTTCGCCCCTGTGATTGGTGTCCGCCTTCTGCATTGTTTCAGGTGGTGCCCCTGGGAGAAGGCAGCGTGAGTGTGAGGGTGCACGACCTGTGCCTGGACCTGCCTCCCCTCACCCTGGAGGTGCAGCTGGTGGGACTGGCCAGGCTGCATTTGCACACCCTCACCAAGGTCAGTGGCCACGCCCCTCTTCACTATTTCTTCACTCTGGAAGAGGAGGGGGCGTCAGTCTGTCAGCAGCGGCTTTTGCGAGAGCAATACTTGGTTAGCACTAAGTTAACGAAGTCGACCAAAACTTGTTCTTTTGTGCATGAGAAATGGTGAGGAGTTTCACATTCACGAGAAAACGTGAGGGGTTTCACAAAAAAGTGGGGATTTGCATGTGCGATGAGGCTTCCCCCAATAGATGCCACTCACTTAGGTGGATAGCAGACGTCTAGGCCACAAGTTCTTCCCTTGGTGTGGTGCGTCTGGCAATTGCTAGTTGCTACTCAACGAAAAGAAAGTACCTTTGAACTTTCTTGAACTTCTTTTTCGTTAAATTATTTCAAGTAGCCATGGAAAAGGCAAGGCAGCCATTGCTGCAGCTAGCAGATGACTCCGAAGCTCGGCATCGCAATGGCTTCATTTCACCCTCTGCACAAAGAGCGGGCGAGTTTGCTCGCTGCTTACCGGCCCGTTGTTTGCCGTTTGTCATCTGCCTGCGTGTCGTCCTGCAAAGGAAGTGACTGAGAGGGCCCTACATTGGAGCTCTGTTAAATTGTTTGAAGATTAATTGATTGATTGATCAAACATTGACTGGTCATAGATTGATCAATCACTCTTTAGGGCACGTCCTCATGTTTGAGACTTACAGGGAAAGCTTTTGCTGTCTTCCTAGGTGGAGCTTGGCCAGGAGATTGAGGCTCACGTGGAGCTGGAGGACTCTTTGGGGCAGTCTCTGTCGGCCTCATTACTGGATCTGGTCGGCCTCAGGCCCTTGTTGGGGGCACCCCTGCTCGAGATCAGGTCAGGGGTTTTTCCATGGTCCATGAGGTAAAGAAGCATGGGGATCTTAAAAGTAAAGAGTTCTAAGATCAGGAGTCTAAAACGCAAACTGAGGCGGTGTGCGTTTGGTGCAGCGAAAAATCTCCTGGCTTGGACACTGTCGTGTGCAACAAGGGTGCAGTAGCACATGATTGCAATGGAGGAATTTAGTAGATGCATTTTCTTGCCAAATTTAGTGGGCAGATTGTGTCACGTTAAACTACAATGTTACATGACAGGACACCATGACTGTCATAGGATGTCATGGCATTGTGAGACAATTTTCCCACTAAATCTAGCGGGGAAATCGTGACTCATGACGTTGTGATGTCGCACAATACTGTTGCCGCATGAGGTGACGTGACACCGTGACTAGTGCAGGATGTCGTCACATCATGAGACATCATTTTCCCCATTAAATTTGGTGAGGAAATTGCAACTCGTGACATCATGACATCTCGTGACCATGACTCATGATGTGATGGCATCACGAAACACAAATTTCCCTTCCAAATAATACAGGGAAATTGACCTTGCAATATCACATGACACCACGACCTAAACTGCCCCATCAATTTCCCCACTAAATTTAGCAGGGCAATTGACGTCGTGGGAGTCGTGCGGTGACACCAACACAAGGAAGGAAGGCTCACGAAGTTTCCCACATAAAATGATCGCTTTGAAACGTGTACTGCAAGTGGAATGAAAGAATTTCGGAAATGTGACTCATGAGTTTCGGAAGTTGGCGTCTGATTGGCTTGGGGATGCGGACGCACGGCGGAATTCTTGCAGGCCGCTGCCGGGAGAGGGCGACCGTGTGCGGTTTGCCGTGCGGGGCTCCTCCCTGGGCACCACCAGCCTCCAGTTCGTGGCCGGCGGTCCAGGAGCAAACCAAGTGGCCAGCGAGGCTCTGTCTGTTCAGGTGGGTCCTGTTTTCGACACTGCGGTGTCTGGAACGCGTCTTTTACCGGTGTGTTCGGCATCTCATCTTGCCCGTGCATCGAAAGCGGTCCCGAGGGGGCAACAAACGACAAGCCGGAGCGCGTGCTGGTAGTATAGGGCGTGGAGGTTTCCGAAAACAAAAACGCGAGGGAACGTGAGCGTCACCGTTGTCGCGGCGTCCCAACACTTGACTGTGGAAGCTTTCGTAGACTCTCCAAATGGAGATTGACTTGCAGCAGGACAGGTGTCTGCCACCTGCACCACCGCTCCCACAACACCTGCAAGATCGCTGCTGGCGACAGCGCAACACCTATTACGGTAAACTCGCGTTGATTCAACCTCGGTTAGTTTGACTCTTCGTTCAATTCGATTGTGTTCGGAATTCCCGATGGGCGCCAATACATTCGTATGGAGAAATAAATTCAATAGTTCGAACGCAAAGGGCTTTGCGCCGTTTAATTCGAACCTAGCGGGAACTCACCGCCCCATGTTGCACCCCGGTAGCATCGAAGCCAATGCACGGTACATTGAAATCTGAAATTTGTTTGCTTACTTTCGTAGAAAGTAAGCAAACAAATAATAATATAATAATAATAATAATATAATGAATAATAATAATAAACAAATAAAACGAAATAATGAAAGGGGAGAAAGATATCTTTCCCAATCTTTTTTTTTTTTGCATTTTTTGGGAAGCAGTGTGATAGGCTTTTTGGGGTTGTTTTCTAGTCATCTGCAAATAGTGGATTTTATGTTCGAAGAGAATTTGCAGCGAATAGTGGTTTTGGTTGAATATTTTCGAATCAAATACGAGTAGTTTTTCCATGCCTTTCACTACTGTTTCAATATGCTTAGATGAAAACCCAGCTAATCTCATGAGAACCTTCCACTTTTCCATTTATAACCTTGTTTTAATCTAACTATAATCTAACTATATTTATGCACTCTGACCTCGGAAATGTATGCCTTGGGTTGGCAAGTCGACCATGGATTTGACATAAAATGAAATTTATGGAGTTGCTCAGCTATACCTAATTGAGTTGATCTACAAATCTTGCTAGTAGTATATGCGAATTCTCAAAGTTGAAAAAGAAAAAAAAGTGAATGATGATTTTAGGCTGTCTGGGGCATCTCTGCCTATCATATACTTTTGTATAACAGCCATAGTTCAATTTTGAAAACTTCACTTCAATGTAAATATCAGCATTACCAATTTTTTCTTTCTTTTTAAATACACAAGGCACGTGCGTGCATCGTCCCGGTTTGAAAGTGTGCTTTTCTCCCAAGCACGCAGTTGCGATATTCATTACTTCTCCAAGGTTGGATCGCTGCAGGTTATCCCGTTGAGTGTGCTTCATACTGAGCATCGATGCACTGTGGTAAAGCAACACCCGTAAAACTTGTTTCCACAGATGTTGCTTCTCCGCAGTGCACCTGTACTCGGTGAGAAGCGCACTCCACAAGGCTAACCTGCTGCAATCAACACTTAGAAAAATATGAATATCACAGTTCTTCTCTTGAAAGCGAATTCAAATAGTGTATTATTTGAAACTGCTATTCGAAATTTCGAATATTCGCACAACACTACCGTTTTCACTTTGTTTGCGCAGATGCGTAACCACGACGGCCCGCTCATCCCTTTTATCGTCGGCCGCAAGGAGTGCTTAGCTCGGTTGTGCAGTGTATTTCATGGAAGCTCAATCAATCTTTGCAAAGATATTTGTCTGCATTGTACCGAAAGTGAAAAGGCAGTTTGAGAGAGTGCAGGAAGTGGAGTCTGTGCATTTGGGACTAGACCAGCCACGGGCTGCACCTCTGCCATGTCCTCAAGCTAAAGTGTCTTGCAGCATCGATTGCGTATGGCATCACGCGGGAAGTACACTTCGCTGTCCATCGGTACGAAGAGAGCCTTCCTTAAGGATGTTGTCAAGGGTGATCTATTGAGAAAGGAGATAGCCGAAAAGGGCGATGCAAGTGCTGCCAATGCATCTGCCGCCGACTGGTTTGTTCCCTGCCCTGGGTGGCGTCTTGTTTCAAGATTTGTTGAATGGGGACGACAGCTTCGAAGTCCGCGGGCCGCTTACGGGCGACAACATAATAGTCAAGACTACCAGCCGTAGGATAGACGTAGGACATGGAATTGAGGAGGAGGCTGTCAAACGCCCCAAACAAGCGGTTGCGTGCGCCTGAAAGCGCGTTTAAATACCTATGTCGGCGCCCCCTGGAGCATGACATTCAATGCGCATTTCAGGTGTAAGCGGTGGGAAAGCGTCACTAACTACTTCCTATCGAACTGAGTCCGGCCTGGACCGTTTTGCCACCGTTCTTGGTTTAATTCAATGTTTGAATAATTTGACTCTTTTCGCATGTCTTGACGGGGTCGAATTGACAGAAATTGACTTTGAGTTATCATGCGGAAATCGAGTCAATAAATAGAATATTAGGCAAAGTTTTTCCGGCACCGTACTAACACGAAGCTCAAGTTGTCACGGATAATGTCGAAGAATTCAGAAAATTAAGCGTTTAGTGTGGTGAACTTGTGCCTAAACAAAAACTCAATAATTGGCGTTCCGGCCATTGATGTTATTGGAACAGCAGGATCAAGCACTAGTGTGAGACTGACTCCATGCCGGGTGCTACGGCTCTGCGTTCGAGGATCCTTTAAACCGGAACACACGGTAAATGTGCGTTCCCACTGGCGATGCGATCTAGTCGCCAATAATTTTCATTGCAAAAGCGACCATCGCGGGCAAAAAGCGACGCGATTTGAGCAGTTGCTACTCGACCCGACTTTTTTGCGATGCGATCTAGTCCCAAAGTGGCGGAGCCAATGAACGGTGTTCAGAGGGACAGTTTTCAAGAAATGATTCGCCAATGAAGGCGTTGGACTCGCTTATCGTGCACGCCGGTGAGACCATCTAGCTTTTTTGCGATGCGATCTAGTCGCATCGCACGACTGCTTACATCGCCGGTGGGAATGCTCCTTAACTGTCGAGAATGCTTTGGACCTTTCCAGTGAATCCCGCCGAATTTTTAACCTGTCGCCGACCATTCAAAACGGACCATGTCGCTTCTTTTTTTTCTTTCTCTCGAGCGAGTACTGGAGTGAGCTTCCCTGGGATTTAAATTTTCATCTCAAGTTCATTGCTTTCTGTTGGGAGCAAGTTCTGCTGACCAAATAGTAAACCTGTGCCTTCCACTGGCATGGATTTTTTTTAGAGCGTGGGACCAATTTGGCGCCTTGTCAATCGTAAGGGGCAGGCAGGCTTTTGTGCAACTTCCTTGTGTTGTGTGTAATCAGGGATGGGCAGTATTTGAAATAGAAGTATTTGAAATATGTATTTCAAATACTTTGTGTATTTCACATTTGTATTTAATTACAAATTGGGTCATGTATTTGACGTGTGTATTTAAATACTAAAATGTGGGTATTTCAAATAAAATTGTAATTAAATACAATTTTGTGGGCGAAACTACATCTTGTTTTTATGCATGTGGTTGTAAGATATAGTCTCCATCCTTTATTCGGCCATTGAACTTTTTTCTTTTTCTCCTCCAGATTTATTTTAAAGGCACTGTCCAGAGCAGGAAGAAAACTATGTTCTGCACCGAATGCAGTGTTTCTCATTCAAGCGCAAGAGTTTAGTGACTTTGCGATTACGGTGCTAGTCCAGGGCAAGAATAGTGACGAAATCGACGTTCACGGGCAGACTGGCTAAATAAGTGCCTGTGACAACTTGTAATGCTTTCCAGCCTGACTTCCATCCATATTTTTGCCTGGAACATTCTAAATGAGGGGGTCGTCCAGATGTTCGTAACTGGTGCGAGTTGCAACACTACAAAATTCTCTAGCTAGTGCTGCGCGTCTTGGTCGTCTCGGTTCTTTGTTGGTCTATACCAAAATGTTATCGACAAAAAAAAAAAAAACTGCTTGAAGCTTATAATTATAATGCAATTAAATGCAAAGGTGCAGCTCGCTTGCACCTTTGCATTTAATTGCATTATAATTATAACCTTAAATTTGCAAGCTTCACCCTTGTTGGTGTTCGACTGGTGGCAGCTGATAAAACCCGTTTGCTCTACTGACGTCTAACCCCTGGTTAGCTCAGTTGGTAGAGCGCTCCACCTGTAATGGAGAGGTCCCGGGTTCGATACCCGGACCAGGCGGATTTTTTCAGACGCTCACCAGTCCCCTAGCTGTGTTTGGAGATTTCTGTTTGTCCTTTGTCCCTCTTGTTCCCCTTCTCCAGGGATTATTTTCGTCATGCTTGAAGCTGTGTACTTTTTTTCATCTATTACGTCCTTGCTGATTACATTTTTTTTTTTTTTTGTGATTATATTTCTATTACGTTACTAGAACTCCCGAGTGTGCGATGCAAAATTAAAATGAGATACCCAGAAACCCGTTGCGGTGCCCTAAAGTCGCTGATGCAAATTTTGAGGAGTGTATTTGGAAAAGTATTTGGAGGAGACCAAATACATTTGGTTGTATTTGTATCTTGTACTTAAATGCTTTTTTTGGATATGTAATTATATTTGTAATTAAATACATTTTTGACAAAGTATTTTGTATTTGTGTTTCGATACATATTTGCATGTATTTTGCCCATCCCTATGTATAATCCATGCATGGCGTGCTATCTATGCGTGTTAAGGTGTCGTTGCTGCATGGCGTGGGCTACACCATGAACACAGACCTCGAAATGGGACGCTTTGCAAACGTCTGTGTGCGTTTTATTTATCCGTTCACTTTGTCTCAAACACCGCACAACCGTACCAACTGCAGTTGGAATGTTTTGGAAGAAGGAGCGGGTTCGCGGAGACTTTTTTTTTTTGCTGACCTCGTCAGGATATGAAGCGTGGACCTTGCAATCCCTGAATCGGTTAGTGCTTATGTTATTTTTCCGACAAAATGAAACCAAAGTTTTCATTTTGTTATGTTCATCGTTTTCCTTTTGCACGCTTGTGCTCAGACTTTAAACTCGCGGAAATAGCGGAAAAAGCGCGTGAACAAAGTAAAGTGTCTTTCCCTTCGGTTTACTTTGCCACGAACATCCTCCAACTGCAAGGTCCGCAGCTGCGTCATTCGGGTAGGATGAATGTTCGCGGATTGCAGAGTTTGCATTTGTGTGTTTGTAAGGGTGGGCAATCACTGTTTTTTTTTTTTGGAAATCGATATTGCCCAAAAAGTGGCGGTAGGCAATGTCTCGGGTATAAGCGATGACTGGGGATATTACAGTATTGGGTTTTTAATGCAGAATTGGAATAGTCCAAGGTTCTTGTTTTTGCTTGGAAGGTCCCAGTTCCCAGCTGGTCTTGTTCGACTTAACCAAGCTCTGTGTATAATCTGGAGTGGGCACATTGGCTCCTTCCATTCAGGGTTTCGAGGGAAAAGTTTGAGGGCACCTGCATGGCTGTGACGGTGACTCGCGCTAATGCCATACCAGAGTGTCAGAAATACGATTTCTACATGATCTTGGGAACAGGATTTTTTTTTTTCTTGCGGGGAAATCTCCAATTTCCCACATCTAGGAAACTGGGAGGTCCCTGTGTCTTGTAAAGAATTCCCTTCTCTCAAAGTCTTTGCATTATGTACTCGTACATAACGTATTGAGTATTATCTGTGTATTAGGTATTGTATTAATGAACTTGGAGATTCCTGACCCCCTATTCCCCACATTGTGTGCGGAATTTTCTATTGGGTATAGGAAAGGTCGGCAGGCGACTTGTGAGGCCATCTAGAAGTATGGACAGTGTTGTAACTAGCTGGTGGGGGCGAATTTGCAGGTGTTTGCTCCACTCAAGCTGGATCCCAGAAACATCACCCTGGTGGTAGGAGCCACATTCCAGGTGAGACAGCATTCTGTGGCAGTTCTTGAGACTGGTCTTGTTGAGAGGCACTTCGCACGGCCTCAAAGAGGGAGTGACATATTCCACTATGGATGCTTTGGGACCTCCTTGGAACAGCTGGATGGCTCCCAAAAGAGCTTGCGAGGTCCACTTTCAAAAGAGAATCTAGTAAATGTTGCACAGAAAAATGTGTTTTTCATTGGGGGGGGAGGGGGGGGGGGTTTCTTCATGACTTGCGTCTTATCTAGGCACTGAAAACAAAAATTTTTTTGGGGAGTGCATGATTTAGGGAGTGAAAATGCTCTATTTTGTGTTGTTTGAAAGGTCTGTGGGCTTTTGACTGCTTTATTGTGGGAATGCCAACACCAGGAAGGGTGTTCTCGCCAAAGGGCGTCCCTTTATTCGTCGAGCTTGAGTCGGCGACGGAGCTTGAGTGGCCCCTGTGTGCACTGCGCAGCTCTGGTGGTCTGGGGGCCCCCAACCCGAGGGCCAGGTGGAGTTCTCCCTGGAGGGCAACGCCAGCGTGGCCAGCGTGTCCACGAGCGGCGTGGTCACGGCCAGCGCCCTGGGCAGCGTCAACGTCGCGGCTCGCTTCCTCGACTCTGACAGCGGTGTCGTCTACTCTCAGGTGATATGCAGCAGTCTCCGTTAGTGACATTACTATACATGTGTCACTACACATTACTATACTTATATTACTACACGAGGGTGTGCGCTTCCTCAGACGTGCACGCCCTCTCGGACCCCTCTCCACTCCTCAATTTTATCAGCCTCCAGATAGCGCAGCATGTATCGAAGGCCATGCATTCCGGCGTTCACATTTCATTCCATGCCGATTGTACATTACTATACGCATGTTGCTCTATGGGCATTAGAGTACTTGCCTTGTTATATATGCATTACTATACATTCCTACATTATTATTTAATGCATACATTACTATACAGCGAAAAACTATGGGAAAGAAGGTGATGAGAGCACATGGAGACACTGGAGCATCGAGCGCCAATTGGAATGATGAGTGGGTAGGCACAAAGGCCAGCTGCCTTTGTCCCTATTCGCTGTCCCCCTCCACTTGGAGCAGCAGACGTTTGCTCCTCGCAAGCTCCGGGTCCAATGATTGAAATTTAAAGTCGAAGGTTCAGAACCTCTCGGTGTGTTTCTCGAGACCATCTTTTGCGCTAGCTTGGCTGCGCTGCCACTGGGGACGGGAATTTATTTAGTTTTTCTCAGAGTCCACAGCCAGATGATGTTGCGATTGGGTGAAAAATAGTACTCGGTCTTGCGGATCTGCACTCTCACCGATACTTTGGTGATCAACGAAAGAGACTGGACGATGCAGGTAATTGACTCGGACTCTGGGTAATCGGAAAATTGGCTCCTTGGTGCTTTGGTAGTAAACAGCTCTAAATGACAAGCTAGGAAGTGATGGCCATGGAGTGTGACCAGCCATATTTTACCTCCGAAAGCATAGCGGTACTTTCTACACTTTGGGTTCTCGAACATGGTTACTTCAGGGGTTCCCTGAGCTTAGTAAAGTAGGTTTTCAGTTTGAGGACCACCTGAGCAGATCTAAGCCACTCGCTGATACAAACTACCGTAAAATCCCCTGAGACCCAAAATGAATAAATAAGTTGGAAAAAGGGGGGTGAGCAGACTTTAAAAATGCAACATCAAAATTTTATAAAATAAAAAAAAAAATTTTTTGTTACAAACGATATCGCAGATTTCAGGCATGGTAAATTTGTGTTCTACAGCGAGATAAACACGAGAATTCGTTGCGAACTCCCCTGTCATGGGAACAAACATTGCAGAACACAGACGCAGCAGATTCGCACTTCACGGTGCGACCAATTATCAGAGTACCCCCACTACAAACATGAGTGTCAGGGGAGCCATTGTCACATTCGCAGATCGTGGACAAAAACGCGGGAACCCACCACAAACTGCCATGTCACAGGAGTGGATACCGTAGATTACGTTTCGCGGTGCGATTAACATGGGAGAACTGCTGCGAATTAGCTTGTCACACATGTTGGTACTGCAGAATGCATGATAGATGCAATTCCCGTCGGACATTGCACGTTCAATTGGCGATATCCGGCAGAAATTTAAGGGTGGATGATGATTTTCTGGAATTTTTTGCCTTTATGGATTCAGCCCTCCAAATAACACGGGTGATCCTTCAGAGGCAGACGTTAGTGCTGGATCTTACAGTATGTGCCAAATGCTTCCTAGTGTGTGCATCATTGCCTGCAAGGCCCGTGGGTTTCTTTATTGCATTACTGCATCAATGCCAAGATTGGGAGGGGTTCCTCAGCTCTTGTTTAACAGGGGTTCCTTGAGGTGAAAAAGTTTGAGTATTCCTGCTCTACAACAAAGGGCCAGAGGCCTCTCTCACGAAACATGGAAACCTATTGTCAGCATTTTCGGAGGTCAGTGGGGGGAAGTGGTCGAGGCTCGCGTGTGCTCTTGCTGAGCCTCTCGCCATTGCAGGACGTGACGAGCGTGCACGTGGTGGCACTCGCGAGCATCCGGATCCAGCCGGCTGTCTCCAGGATGCTGTCCGGGACAGAGGTAGGCGCTCGCTCGGCGATTTGGGTCCAGGTTCGGTGATGGTGTCCGGGGCACTTTTGATCAACATGTTTAGCGTCTCGTGCCGCCCACGCATCAAAACAATGGTCCCAAAGTGTCAACAAACGATGCCGCAGAAGTCGGCGCATCATGCCGTCGGATGTTGCGATCCTGGCAGCTGGTCGTAGAAGTTCCAGCAGCAAGCACGAGCAAACGCGAGCGTTCCTGTCGTCACGGTGTCTTAGCTCAACTGTCTTAACTGTCGAGCTGGAGAGTAACCTGCAGCAGAAGGAGCGTCTGCCACCTCCGCCGTCGTGCCACCGCCAGGATTGCAGCAGGCGACGGCACGACACGTCCGCGGTGTCATTAGGTGGAAATCAAAGGACCGTAAACATTGACACTGCGGACACACTGGTTGGAGACGCGCCCCAGGCACCATAGCTGGGCCACCGTTCGGGGGAAACCAGGCGTTGAAACTGCCGCCCTTTGCAGCTTCCTGCATTTGCCACGGGCTCCAACGAGTTCGAGACTCCGTTCAGCTTCTGCAGCGCCGAGCCCCCGCTGCTGTTCCGCTGGTCCGTCAGTGACCCCCGCCTGCTGGCCCTGGAGGCTCCCCTGGTCCAGGTGGGTTCGGCACGAAGCACCGGCAAGCTGAGCCGCCTCGGGTGGTGCATGCTTGGATTGGAGTGCGAGTTGTCTTGTGGGCTGTTTACTAGTCTCGCTGGTATCGCTCACGATTTTGCAGCTTTTTCTACGGCTCTTGGGACGTTGTACAACTATATGTTTGGGCATTTTTCAATCTCTTGTTGTCAATGACGGTGATTTTTGTCCTGAAAATATGACAAATCTGTCTGGCTGGGACAAGACTAATTAAAAACCAAGCCCTAATTAGGGACCCAACATTTTGAGCCAGAGTAGGCCTCGAATTATTGGGCTTCTAACTGGAGCTTGCTTGGACATCCCCCATTTTAAATCGGCCACTTTCAACCACCTAAATTGGCTTAAAAAACGCACATTCATTGAAGTGCTTGACTCGGGTTTTGTGTGACGCTCGAGTTTCCCGTCTGCTTTGCACGGCCGGAAAAACTAAGGAAAAGAAAGGGAAGAAGCGGTCTGATGTAGCCATGTCACTTCCGGAAACTCTCGCCTCCTCTACATTACTTCTTCCTCCCGGATCCAGTCTCGGTTTTGAGCAGTTGCGTTTTTTTACTTTATTAAGAATGTGAGGTTGTAGCAAAATATTGATTGGATGGTCTTCTGACAACATAATAAATCGCCTGGCATAAAATAAAAAATCATGAGCCATTCCACTCTGTGGAGGTGGATGACCAGCGAAGCTGTTTAGCCAGGGATGGGCAGTATTTCAAATACAAGTATTTGAAATATGTATTTCAAATACTTTGTGTATTTTGCATTTGTATGTAATTACAAATTGGGTAATGTATTTGATGTGTGTATTTAAATACTAATACATGGGTATTTCAAATACAATTGTAATTAAATACAATTTTGTGGGCGAAAATACATCCCTAAAATTTATTGTCACTGTCCAGAGCAGGACGAAAACTACGTTCTGCACCGAATGCAGTGTCTCTCAATCAAGCACAAGCTTTTAGTACTTTGTGATTACGGTGCTAGTCCAGGGCAAGACTAGTGACGAAATCGACGTTCACAGGCAGACTGGCTAAATAAATGCCTGGAACATTCTAAATGCGTGGGTCGTCCAGATTTTCGTAACTTGTGCGAGTTGCAACAATAAAAAAATCTCTAGCTAGTGCTGTGCGTATTGGTCGTATCGGTTCTTTGTTGGTCTAGACCAAAATGTAATCGACAAAAAAAGCTGCTAGAAGCTCCATACTTTTTTCACCTATTACGTCCAAGCTGATTACATTTTTTTTGTGATTATATTTCTATTGCATTGCTAGAGCCTCGCACACTAACTCCAGAGTGTGCGATGCAAAATTAAAATGAGATACCCAGAAACCCGTTGCAGGTGCCCTGAAGTCGCTGACACAAATTTTGAGGAATGTATTTGGAAAAGTATTTGGACGAGACCAAATACATTTGGTTGTACTTGTACCTTGTATTTAAATACTTTTTTGGAAATGTAATTAGATTTGTAATTAAATACATTTTTGACGAAGTATTTTGTATTTGTATTTCGATACATATTTGCATGTATTTTGCCCATCCCTGTGTTTAGCACACAACACAGATGTGACACAGAATTTTGAGCAAAGGTACAAACACATTTATTGTCTTGATCGGTGGTCATTGTGACAAAAGGTACGCACACACATCTGTTTTCTTGATCGGTGGTCATTATTTCGCGTGGACGACTATCGCCACCCCGAAAAGCCGGAGGAAACTAGACACGCGCGTCTGGGCCGCCATTCGGCGGAAAGCAGACACCGGCGACATGACTGCAACCCCGAGAGAAAGGAAGGAAAGGAAACTAGGCATACAAGCTCTTGGAACGACGACAAAGGTAAGGTGGTGTGAGCGTTGACATGGCCGATGCGGGTCGCACAGCAGCAAACCTTCGAGAAACCTTTATTATCTACCTGAAAGTGTACTGATCTTAAAAATGGTGCCTATTGATAACTAATCTACTGAATAGACCTGTTGCTGAATTACCAAAGCATCAAGGAGAATGCAGGGAATGGTGTTCCACGTGCCGGCGTATGCGGCAGTAACTGTTCTAAAGCAAAAGCTTAAAACAAATGTCATCTTTCGCGCGCATTCGTCAACGCTTTATTTTGGTTATTTACTTTGAATCTTTTATACGGGGAAGGCGTGCAGCTGTGTGAGCATAGAGTTTTTGTGGACGCACATGAAAAATCCACGGAGCCCTAGCCATAAACAGCTTCGCTGTAAAAAAATTAATCGAATGACATGTCCGCTAGTAATAGCTAGCCAGACTACCTAGCGTGCACTCAGAAGGCTCGTTGAAAGCGCAGTTTGACCCTGCGCCTGCGTGAGAGGAAAATGAATGGGCATGTTTCAGACAAGTGAGGCATCGAGCCGAAGGCAGTAGCTACATAACGACACAAGAACAATTGCTTTCTGGTTTATAGTTGCAGAGCACGACGCTGTTATAGCGAGATCTGTATCGTTGCACAGAGACCATGCCTTCCTTAATTCCCTTAATTGGGGGAAAAAACTTTCTTTCTTGGGCGTCGCGCTGTATTTTGGGGGAAAGCCCGTGTGTTTACTGCAAATGCATAACGTTTTTTTCCTTTTTTGGCAGGAGGGGTTGCAAGCGAGGGAGGAGAATGTGTGTGCGGTGCGATTGCGAGCGCTGGGAACACCGGGCCGGGTGGCACTGAGGCTGCAGGTCTCGGTCTCCGAGGACGCTCCAGATGCCAGCAGACAGCAGCTACTGGACAATGCGCCACTGGATGCCCAGCTTCAGATACAGGTGGGGGCTAAGGTGTCTTTTTGGATGGACAAATGCTAGTGGCTGTACCCTTTATATCGGGCAGCAGCTTGCCGTCTTTCTGCCTCTCCCTTTAAAAGTCTCGCCATGCAACCCAATAATGTTGTGCACGACTTTGTAGTTCCCTAGATATTTTTCAAAAGTTTTCTAACCTCCACCTCGTGATTATAATGCCGTTATCGTACATTCTTCCATTCTCTTCCGCAACCTCAAGTGCTCTGTTTAGGGTGTTGCTGTTTCAAAACCTTTGATAATGCAATACAAGAATGCACCGGAAGCTGCCCCCACACCATCATTGCTACCAGCTGTTTTTCCCTCGCCATGAGCAGATGTCCTGTACTGAGGCACACGTTGTGCTGACGTCCGTGAAAATCGGTGCATACTGCTCGCACGTAAGGAAGATGGGCCAGGCACAGAAACAAATTCATTTTTATCCGAGCAGGCCCAGCAATCGAGTACTGGCCCTAGCCCTCGCTCTCCCCGCAGAGTCTTTTCCTTTCCTGTGCCTTTTCCTGTGCCAGAACTTGTGGCTACTGCAGTTAAACCAGAAACTGCAGTAGCTACTGCAGTTTCTGGTTTGTCTGCGGACAGATTCTGTATCGCAGCTGGTATGCGGTTGCATACATTTGGCGCATTTTTAATTTTAATTCAACTGCGGATACCAAGGCCGTAGTGCTAAAGTTTCTACGCTGCCTTTTGGAGGCCAGCACGGGGCACAGATTTCACACAAGAACTGCGTAAGTGCTTCCTAGTCGGTGTCTCGTGTCAGCCCCTGGAAGATGTCAATGAGTCTAGCACAACAGCCTTATCTAGGAGGTATTGTGCCTGCTGCTAATACCCCTCTTTCATGTCGTCTTCTTCGACCGTGTTATTTCCCCGAAATTATTGCTAGAACGGTACCCTTGCAATTTTCCCAACGCAATGGAAAATGAGGTTGTGGTGTCACATGACATGGTGACGTCCTCTGACAGCTTTATGTATTCACGGAACCCTTGCAGTATTTCCTCGAGTGGCTTCCCTAGTCTCCCTGCAAAAGGAGCAGGGCGAGGAGGCCCTACAAATGCTACACATTAAAAACACCTTGGATAAATGTCAGATACAGGCAATTTCTACTCGCACGCCGGGTCATATTTTGCATTTGGGGCCGCCGGGCCGCCTTCAGTTTCGGTGCACCCGCCTGGCGTCGAAGTTAGTAGTTTGCGGGAGATCTGAACCCCCCTCTGTATCTGTACCCCCCTCCCCCTCACCCCCTGCAGATCCTGCCCAGCCTGGAGCTGGTGAATCCCAGCCTGCCCGGCGCCGGCCCCATACTTCTGACCCCTCACGCCAAGCTGCCCCTCAAGTCCTCCAGGTCAGAGGTCGTCCTTTCGCTCGACAGTGTTCTTTAAAGTGCACTGTCGAACAGACTCTCCCAATGTGTGCCCTGCATTAGGCTCCTCTAGGTGATGTAAGGTGCCTGGAAAGCTTCTTCGACCGGTACTTTCACCACCTTTTTCTGCCCATGCATGAGAAGTGGTTCCAAAGTGGCAGAACATTGCTTCACGGGGCCTCCGTGTCGCCCAGTCAGATTTTGCCAACCTGGCGGTCGGTCGTAGAAACGCCAGTAAAAAGCACGAGCTAACTCCAGCGTTGCCGTCGTCGCGTAACCCCAACTGTTGGCTGCCGAGGCTTGCGTGGAGCGTCAAGCCGGAAAGTGGCCTGGAGCAGAACATTTGGGTGCCTGCCACATTCGCCACCGCTGCCGTGCCGCCACTTCCACAACGCCATACACCGAAAATTGAGGGACTGCCTTTTACGATGCTGTAAACGCGCAGTCGGAGACGCTCTCCGGGCACAGTAGTGATGCTGAGACTTGTGCACTAGTCTCAAATTGGAAAGGTGTTGAGAAGGTGTGCTCTGTGCAGAGACCGTGAGGGCAGCGTGGCCTATGCCCTGGAGCGGCTGGAGCACGCCTCGCTCCGGCTGGAGGAAGGGCCGCTGCTTGTATCCGGAGCGCACACGGGATCGGCCGTCCTCAACGTGTCGCTCGCCGAGCCGTTTGGCCTCGTGCACAGGATCCTGACCCCCGTGGAGGTGAGTGGACTCGGGGTGAAGGCGACGTATTCCGTAGACCTTTCTCCGCACGAGCATCGCCATCTTGAATTGCAGAACTTCCGGTGTGGGGGAAATCGTCGCTTTGCTCTCGCCGTGCCACGGGGAAGTGCTAACGTCTTCTCTGTGATTGTCGCTCATGCTTTTTTTGCCATTTATACAAATTTTTTTACCTATCTCTGTTTGTAAGGTCTCGCTTTTATTTTATCCCCCATACTGGGATTCGGGGACCACGCGGCTTTGGGGACAAGGGTAAATGAAACGGGTGCGCCAACACCTCCCCGATAACAAAGCCATAGGGCTAATAAGGATGTCATCGCCAGCAAGGGCCAACGCTGGTCACAGATTGGACACGACGAGTGCGTCAACGTTTGGCTCAAAATTTGCTCAAGGTTTGCATCTGATGCTCAACCCCAATACTCTCCACACTGACATAACTGTTGGCGCAGCAGACCTCGCAATTTCAGGCTTGCTTGCGTATGCGAGATCGTCAGTCTCGAATTCACGGCTAAGGACATAGTTTTTCCGTCTCGCCCACTCACCACTGTGCCACTCGACGCAAACTTGTTAAAAATGTGTATGAAAGGGCAGGAATGCAGCAGCCTGGGTGCTGAGAAGCATAGAGCTGCACGGCGAGACAAGCATTTTCCTGCATAGTTAAATATGCAATCACCGTGTCGGTTTTTTCTTCAACCGACATTCTTGTCACAATCATTGATGCCATTTGGAAACATTTACTGCCACTGTCGGGAAGAGAAAGGCACAGTGCTACGAATCGCATAACTCCTGCGTTGTTCGTAGCCTTTACCCTTGAAAATAAATTGGTGTCAACTTGTGTCTTCTACGACAGAAGCTGCAGATGATGCAACATTCATTGATCCATATGCTATCTGCACACTTTTGGAGAACAGCGTTTATCCCATAGATAAAAGGCAAGTGTCGCGGCACGCTGCCTGTGGGATGGGGATGAAATAAAACACGCCGCCAGCAGACTACAAAACTTGCAACTTACGCCAAAAGAAAAAAAGAAAAGATAAACATATTGCCTCAGTGCCGGCTGAAGTGCCTGCATCACAAGTGACATTGTTGCTGTGACGCTACACAAGGGTGGAGACGCAAACGTCACTGTCACTCTTTTTTTTTTTTTTTTTTATATTAGTTTCGATTTGAGCAAGCCCACGGAACTAAAATAATTTGGCCTGTAACGCCCAAATGCTTACACGTTTATTACAGCTTGCGGTGGGAATATGCAGCTTGGAGGTTGGACATCAATGTCGGAAATGGCAGTATGCCCTCTTAAGTCATTATGTAATTAAAAAGTTAATTAAAATATCTCCGTCCATTATCTGCCTGATTGCACTAACAACCTTGTTTGTAGTGGTGGCCAAGTCAGGTAAGCTAAATCAGAAGCAAAAACTGTCCTAATGCAACTATTTTTTTTTTTTTCCGGAAATTTGGTGCAGTTTAAAAAAAGAACACCCTGTATATCTACATATATATGTGCATACACACATAATGGTGACAGGGGAACTCTCAATTCTAGAAATAGTAATGCACTCAATTGTAAGCATTCGCAAGTGTGTGAACCAGCCTTTTGAGATGAAAGGAAGTACAGGTGTCTTTGCACTAGGTCAATTGAACAAAACGATTGACTGGCAACCAGAAACTGTCTTTCGGCCGCGTTTTGCGTGTCTTTGTCCGAGCGAGTGAAATTCTCGCAGGTGCGGCCAGCCTCGTTCCTGCAGGGGCTCCTCGAGCCCGGGGTGCGACAGGAGCCCCTCCCCCGCCCGACGCTGCCCCTGGGCCTCAGCTGCCCGCTGGCAGTGTCCCTGCACGACGAGCTGGGACGGCGCTTCCACGCCACGGGCACGCGCCTGGCTCATCGCTCTTCCAGGTGACTGCCCGGGTAGCACGTCCGAGGAACCCCTAACTTGGCACAAGCTTGGACATCCTAGGGGCCTAATACGGTTTTGCTTTAACGCGTCAGTGCTAGAGTGCTTTTCATTGGCGTTTTTTTTCTGGGCTTTCCTTTGGCTCACCACATCATTGCTAAAGCGCCCAACTTAAGGGGGGATATGGCCTGGGAGGGTCAACTTTTGAACCCTTCACCCAATTTGGCTCAAATTTTGAGGGTTATTTTAGCACTATGAGGAAGGATAATCTGCCAAGTTTTAGCATTATCGGTGAACTTTACAGTATGCTAAGATTTTTACACTTCAGAAAAAAGACACTTCATTAGGAAGTCTATCGTAGAAAAATAATATTAGCTGGTGGCAAACTACCTGCTTCAATGAGAAGAACAATACCCACAGTGCAACCTAGATAAAAGATATATTGCAAAATATTCAATTATGATGAAAATAGCAACATCCCAAAATTAAAAAAAAATTCTAAAATTTTCATGTTTCAGTTTTTTATTTTTTTTTTTCATGAAAGAGTGTATTTTTTTAACTGTGAAGTAGTCTATCTTGTTCCCCAGAAAATTTCAGTCCCAGAGAACCTTGAATGATGTCCCTCATTATTCTGAATGTCAAACGATAGCTTTCCTAAAACAAGAATTCCTGTCAAAAAGTGAAACTGAGAAAAATGCGATTGAAGTTTCAACTTCTGTTTTTTTTTATTTTCGGACGATGCCAGAAACTTGAAATCCAACCGAGTCATTGGTGGCACCTTCAACTTCATGGGCGCATTGCTTGCTGGCAGCAGCTTGCGGCTTGTTCTCAAAATCCGCCTGGGACATAGGTGGCACCTTCGACCTCCAGGCTCTGTTGCTCCCTGGCAATAGCCTCCAGCTTCCGTCTTTTGTGTGCGAGCTTTGATGAGTCCTGTGCCTTCACTCTGGCCTTCACGATCTTCCCCAGAGTCGCCTTGTGGGCATGCTTCTCCTGGTGGCTTCCTGGGGTGATGCCCATCTTTTGGAGCGTCCTTTCGAAACCTTTAGGTCCAAGGTTGAACTCGAGGACAGCTAGGGCGACAGCTGTCTCGACAGTTCGCAAGGAGGCGAACTCCGTCTTGGGGCATCGCTTCCAAATAAGGGCGTTGAAAGACTCGTTCGCATTTTGTGTCATCATGCGGGAGCATCGGAGGAGCAACTCCTTTCGCGACAGCCGGTTGTACACTGGAACAAGCTCTCTTGCAACGTCTTTGGAGAATGCTGGTCTGTGTGGCCGTGGTGTCGAAGGCTTCCCTGCTGCTTCAAGGGCCTTGTGGCGGTTATAATGGCACCACGAATCCTCGCCATCTGGACAGCCCACGTGACGGGGCTCCTCGTCTGTGGAGTATGTGTGGAACAGGCTGGCAAAGATGGCTCGCTGCATCTTCACGACATCAGGCGCGTTGTCCTTCAAAGCGCAAGCATAGTAGTTCGTCAGATTTTTCATCACTACGTTGGTCAGCTTCCCTTTTCCTCCCAGTCCTTTTTTTGTTTTCTTGAGTTTCTCCAGACCTGCATACATCCTCTTTGCTACGTGATTGATGCAATCCTCCTTGTGGATGTCCTTGTCGTACAGGTCAAGGCTGGACACATGCGTGAAGGCCTTGCTGTCGCCGTCGCACAAAACAGTGACGTACTGCATATTGTGTAGCTCAATAGACCAGCTGAAGATGGTTGCAGCCGCCTGTACCTCCATTGCATTGGACGATCCCTCGTAGTTCTTCTGGCAAGTTGCCTTGTGGGTTTCTGCCCACTCCTCGAAGTGTTCGTCGTCTTCATTGGGGCCCAACTCGCACCCGTGGCAATACTTGCTCTGGACCGAAAAGTCAAGCACCAAGCCGGTCTCCAGTTCGATAGCAACGCCAACTCCGAAGTGCGATGTATGGCCACGTTAATGCCACGTGCCATCGTAGCTGATGCAGACATCTAAACGATCGCTGCCGGCGCTCGGGTTCCCGGTCGGTTGCGCGTCCCTCACGGCTTGCGCAGCGTCCCTCATTGCGTCACTCGCCGCTTGCATCGCCGCATCGTGTACTTTCGCCGCGATCTTCTGGTACGACTTGACGTGCATCGGGGGCGGAGCGTTGAGGCCCCCGAAAAGATTCGTGAGCTTCGTAAAACTGATGCCACAGTCTCTTCCAACGACGCCGAGACGCACCGCGAGTTCGTTCTGTCGAGACTTGCCAATTGACGGTGAATGCGGTGTCGTGACGATGTCTCCGCAAGTCGAGCAGCTAACAACGAACTGAAGGTTGACGCCAATTCCTTCTTCTCGCAAGCTCAGCAGTTCTCCGTGGCACTTGGGGCAGAGCAAAGCCCCCAACAAGAGTCTGCACGGCCGACACACTGAGGAGCCGATAGCCGTCCAGCGGCTTTTCAACGGGAGCGTCTGTCGGCTCCGGGTCGTCCGTAGTCCCCGCGTCAAAATCGAGCAGGCTGAGCTTCTTCTCGAACGTGGTCAGCACATCCGATTCGGAGGAGACAGGAAGCCGATGAGCATTCGGAGATGAAGCTGCAGGCTCCGATGTCCGCAAAGCCGCACTTGAGCTTGAAGATGGTGATGGTGACGGCGGCGGCGGAGACGGCGACGATGGTGCCGGCGGAGACGGGTCCCCGTCCTTTGCGTGGAGTGCCGCTGATCGACCCCTCGGTTTTCGCCATCGAGAACGCCGGCCAAAGCTACTGCGAGTGCTAACCTTGGAGGCAGGCATTCCTCGGCAGAAAAACTACCGGGAACAAAGCTACCGGGAACAAAAAGGGAAAACGAATCTAAACAGCGGCGAAGTAGCGATACGATCAGAAGCGAAAGAAGCAGCCGAAAGCGCGCGTATGAGGCGAACAAGGAGCGACGTCACCGAAGGCGGCCAATCATGAGCCCCGTTTCGGGTCGCAACCAATAGGATTGCTGGTATCACAGTTCCCACGTTTTTTCGGCTTGTTTGTACGGGGTTCTCCCGGGCCACAGATAGCCTCCAATGTAGCAAGCTTCTATGGGCAGAAACTAGAAGAAACGGCGCTTCCAACGAGGGTAAGATACCTCGGCTGCGTCGAACGAGTGCGGAGTAGGCCTAATTTGAAAACGCCGAACTTCGCTGTTCTGCTCGCTCGACGGATCTCCGTGCGCAGCCCGCGCGGCCGCGAGCTTGTCGAAAATAATTTTTTGCGAAATAAATACTGCGTATTTATAAATGAAACTTTCTGAAACTATGCTCCAGAATATAGTGAACCCAAATATAATATTTTTTAAAAATGCATTTTTTCGAAAAAAAATGGAATTTCGGGGCCGTATCCCCCCCTTAAACCAAAGATGCCACATATGAATTGAAGAACCAGCTGTGAAGCCCAAATCTGCCACTTGAGTGGTGATTTAGGCTCAAAGATGGCTAGACGGCAGCCAAACTACCGGCAGTGAAGCTTAATTTTGGCACTTGTCTGGCGAACTGGGGTCGTTGAGTCGCTCTAGAAAACCTTCCAAAAACCCCGAAGCAGCTATGGCGATGGGGAGGAAAGAAAGAAGGGGCAATAGCCCGATTGCATGTCTTGCCGTAGGTGATGTGATTGTGCGAGGGGCGACAGTGACGGAGGCAGCGCTGCCGCTCTCTCTCTGCAATTGCGTCGGTTTTTGTGTACGAATGCTGCCAGATTTCGCTTAAAGGGAGCACAAGCGGCTGCCGCCATGAAATAAGTGGCAACCTTCTACAGTGCAACCCACTTATAACGACAATGAGAAAACCCGAAATTTCAATCGTTATAGTCGGTTATCGTTGTATCTGGACTAGAAACTGATCATTTCCAGTCTATAAACTATAGAAACTGATCGTTATAAGTGGTACGTCGTTATATGTGGTATTGTTGTAAGTGGGTTGCACTGTACAAGGTGAAACACTAGAAAAAATATGACACCCTCCCAAGAGTGTCAGTTTTAGAAAAGGGGCGAGCTTCCTCAGGCTGTAGCTGTCGAGGGGAGCAATAACCTATGTGGTATCTATAAAAAAAAGATTTGAACTTGTTTTAGAATTTTGCATAAAGCCAACCGACTCAGAATGTGTTGTTCGGTTGTGTCGACTTCTTTCGATCTGTTTGAATCCGATTTGCCCATTCTGCCCGTTTTTAACTTTTAGGGTTTGTATTCGGGAGGCCGACACAAGCACTTGACACATCCCGAGTCGATCGGCTTTATGCAAAGTATCAGGCGACGTGCATTCACTTGGTACTGATACGAAGAGTGTTTGCACCTTGACCAGAAAAGACCCCATGTCGGAGACAATGGAGTGAGGTTTGCAGCTTACATCTCCGGTACAAGAAATGAAAAGGACACTGGATTTTTTTTCGGTGTTGCCCCTCGTACCTTTCTGCAGGCAGTACGGGGAACAACAGAACATATCCACAGGCAGAAAACCTGCAAATAAAAAGGCTTTGTTGACAAAGGCTTCAAACCACAGTCTGTCACACTTGTTACGCAACACTCCAAATGGATTGTCCGTGAAGTGGCGCTTGAACTGCCGGTCAGCCACCACGTAATGCTGACTGGCTTTATGTCTCTGCTGGGCCCGCCAATCTCGTTTCGCAGCCGCGTCCCTTGCCCCTCCCTCTCCAGCTAGTACTGCTTTGATGGTAGACAATGCCCACAACTGAGAGCGTTCATACGTGGAGAATTCAAGTTTTAAGGTTTATTAATTTTTGTATAAAAAGTATTTGCAGCAGAAAACCTTAAACTTTCTTACTCTTCTACGTAGTTGCTGTGTAGTTTCATACATTTTTTGCATGTCAATGTCACAGCTGTAAGTCTGCCGTGAACGCTTGTTGGGGGGGTCTGTTGAGACCACTGGGATATTGCCAACGCAACAGCAGAGCACGTCGTAGACGCCCGACCACGGTGAGTGTCCTTCATTGTCGGAAACAGCCAAACATCGCTGGGAGCAAGGTCGGGAGAGTAGAGGGCATAATGAATCAGTTCAAAGTTGTTGTTGTGAAGAAAATTTCTAACAGCTGTCTCTCTATGGGCCGGCCCATTGTTGTGAGAGAGGATGAAGCCATCACTGTCATGGCCTTCGGGGTGCAGTTGGTGAGGGTAACACAGAGGTCATTGTTGCCATTTGTAGTGTCTGAAACTTTATTGAGACCAGGTTGCTCTGCAATCGTTTGAAGACTTTATAACAATGTTGCTCTGTTGTGCACTTGTTGCTAATGAACCGCATATTTTAAGATACTTTGTATTTTTCTGCCCGCTCACAACCCAGAGAAAAAAAGCGGTAGCTTTATAGGGTGGGTGGTGCCCTTAGTTCGGGTGGTGTCTAGGGCAGGGTTTGGTATGGAACCAGATTACGTCGCACCATTGTCTCTTCGTGACGCCGCGCACACTTTAGCACCACCCGGGTGCAAAGACCTTGCGCTGAAGTTTCTTGGTCACCAAGGGAGGGGAAACTCGCTTTCTTGCCCTTTCTACTCCCCATTCCATGCACTCTTTTTACAATTCCTGCTTCTACCCCTCTTTCTTGCCCTTCCCGTCCCGCTCCGCATTCTTTCTCACACCACCTGCTTCTGCTCCTCCCGTTCCCGCGTGCTGAGTCTGTAGCTCGATCAGCAGCGCGCTCGGCTTCCACGCTGGTGACTGGAGTTTAATCCCTAAAACCGGTCGCTGTATTTTTTTTTTTTTTTTCAGGATTGTTTAGTATTAGACTGACTGACCTACCGTAAGATACAGCAGAGGCACCCACTTTGTTCAGGCGCCCGCTACTGACAATTCCAAAACTTGGGAATTCTGAAAATTATATGCTAGGCGCCCAATTCGACCGGACAAGCTCCCGTGTCTAGATTAACCCAGTTTTCAGTAAACGTGGTGTGGGCACTCTTCCGGTATTTTACGATACACATTTTGTGCTTGTGCGACTCCCGAGGTAGGTTGGTCCTAAAAAGCTGCTGCCTTAAAAATGAGACCTTAAATCTCGAATGCCTCTTGTAATACGTGTTCTAGGGTGCCTTTCTGCCACCGATCGCGCACAAGTCCCCCCTCCAAGAACAGTAACCGATTGCATGTGGAGTGTACAATTGGAAACTTCACGCTCTGTCCGGAATACTATCGAGGCTACATCCCACACTCGAACTCGAATGCACCAAGGGCTGGGCCCATTAATGTTCGGCATTTAAAAACCCACCGAATGAACACTTTCGGTCAACCATGTTCAACCGTACCTTCTCAGGCGCGACTTGGTGCGTGTGTCCGAGGGCGCTGTCAACGGGAGCCTGGCGCTTCACTGCGTGGCCGCCGGCCGGACCGTGCTCCGCCTGTGGGACCGGGACGACGCACGGCTGCAGACGTTCGTGTCCCTGCGCACGGGACCCGCCCTGGAACCCCGGCCCGATCGCATGAGCGTGGGCGACGTCGTCTGCTTCCAGACGCCACTTCAGGCGGCCAACGGTAAGGGCTCGCTCCATCCGTTGCTTGCTTAGAGTGTCTCGACAGCCCATCTGCAAATCTTCTCTTAAAGAGCCTGTTCACACACTTGCATTTGCTTCCGAACAGAGTTCTTGGGATCTTCTACACGACAGCACGCTGGCGCCATCTATGTGTGACCTTAGAACTACATGTCATTAGAGTGAAGGTTTTGTGTTATTTGAGAGGTCAAATGTATAAACTATCTATTGTAAAATACCGAGCAAGCTCCCACTCAAAATTTGAAGATAATCACAAAAAAAAATAGAGGATGGGCCCATATGACGTCATCAATTTTACATATATATGTACTTTGCATATTTTTTCAGATGTTTCAAATTTTGGTGGTGCGCGCTTAGCGCGGAATGGACGGATGCTCTGTACTCTACGATACGTAAAGTGGTTGTTTATAACATAGCCAAAAGCTTCTTGAGACAAAAAAGAAAAAATGATGCGCAACAAAAGTAGAAAATAGGGATATGCCCCGGGCGTTCGATGGCTGCTCGATAGATGGTGCCAGTCTATTTTTTTGTCGTAAGAGATCTTGGTAGTTTTTAAGGCGCATGGTCGTAAGAAGTCACAAGCGTGTGAACTAGCCTTAACCCTTTGAGTGCTACGCTTGAGTATACTCTGTCGCGTTCCTGTGTGGTGTCGGTTTTGGTTTGCTCCCTACCCCTCCAAACTGGGCTGTCATCTTCAGACGTAGAACTACAGTAGACTCATTAATAGACTAATCTCACCAGCCGGTTTGACTACGCCATTGCTGCCGCAATGCATAGAGGGAGCTTTAGCCTTTCTGCACATGTGACAACCTCGCTGGAGCTCTGCGCATGTGGAGCATGAGGCGGCACGAGCCGTCTTGTGCACTGCTGCCTGCCTCCTGCGAACTAAAGTTATGGCGGCGTCACGCATGTGCCGCACGCTTGGTGAGATCGGTCTATTCAAACTCCAGGAAGTCACAGATTTTAGTTTGAATTATCAGAAAATCATCTAAATATGATACTAGACAACATTATGAATTGTTACATGGATAGCTACACATACAAAGCAGGTTTTTGTCAGTTTCCTCTACAAGGGCCTAATTATAAGCAAGTACAGGCATTACACATTGGTGAAATAACTGACGTTAGATTTATTCATCTGGCAAAAAAGGTGTTGATTGTGGGCTGTTTAGTCAGCACATGAGATCTCAAAAGTTTCAATACCAGCCAACACAAGTAGTTCTTATGGGACTCTTCCTTTGCACACAGAAACTTCTGAAGCTGAGCGATGTGCTCAAAAGCCTGTGCGGCTGTGACAGTTTGTAGTGGGTCATCCCGTTCTTCGTCATCTTCACTGTCACTGCTGCACTGTACTGGCATTACTTCCTGTACTATGTCCTCTGATGAGTCATCACGACAAACACCCACATCATCGTCAAGACTAGCATATTTCGCCAGCTTGGCATTCACATTATGTGCTTCAAGGCCAGAAAGCATGATGCCAGTGAGCTGTTCCTCATCCTCGATGTTGTCTTAGTCATCATTGCTAGTTTTAAAGGGACACTGACACCCCCAGAAAAATTTTTTATATTTTTTGCCAGGCACTACATTATGGTGTCGGAGGACTACCCAATTAATATTTTGCAACAGAGTAGCGTATTTCTTTAATAAAGCCAAAAGAGGCAACTGCTCGAAACCGAAACCGAAACCCGACGGAGGTCGGAGAAGTGGAGAGAAGAGAGTGAGTGGCGGAAGTCGCGTGGCTACACCCGACCGTGCGTTTTTTTTTTTTTTTTTTTTCCTTTCCGTAGCAGACGACACGACATGCGGCGTGCGATGCGGCGTGCGGGAACTGCTCGCCCTGCGATTCTTTTGCAGTTATGTTTGTTCTGCTCGTTGTTCTGTATCCCAAGATGAGTTGTTTTGTACATTGAGGAGTTGGAGATGAGTAGTGAGTGCCCGTGGTGAATTTCCATGATCGGCTCCGAAAAGAATACACCCAAGATGTTGCGTGAAGAGCTGGCTCACCTGTCCTGCATCCGAAAAAAAGTGGCATTGTGTGACAGAGTTTCCGAAAGATCAACGGGATCGGGACCAATGGCTGGCTGCAATTCCTGTAGAACATTTACGGGCACCTCGGAAAGCGGACGCTACCTGACTTATATGCTCCTTGCATTTTGTGGAAAGTGATTACATTGAGTTCGCAGGTGTCAAAACGAAAATCCCATACCATTTAATTCAGCGAAGTATCGTCCACAACATTTGTTTGTTATTTTTTTTGTTTGTTTCTTCAATGATGATTGTAAAAAAAAAAAGAAAAAGATATGTAAACATCAAAAAATGTTCGACAAAAAACAATTTTACGGGGAATCGAACCCGGGCCTACCGCGTGTGAACCGGACGTCTTTCCCACTGAGCTACTGGGGCATCTTGATTCTGGGGGATCTTTTTCCTTAGGAATAATTCAGCCGGTAAACTGTAAGTTGGAAAGTTGGCTATCGATTTTTCTCTAGCAAAAGCACTCCCGGGTCGAAGTCGGGAAGCACCACGCTTTGGGGACATTCGCACCTAGTAAAGAAATCGTACGCGTGCATATTCAACACGAAGTAGACACGTCGTGCTTGACGTTTGCGCGAGTGATGTCTTCAGCCACGAGAAGGGAGCGACGGCTCGGCGACGTCTTCGTTTAAATCGGCTTGGTGGCCGGGCGTGTCGTACGGAATGAATACCAATTCTTTTGATCAGTCCCAAATTTCTCTTTTAACGGCAGACAGAATTCGCCGGTACCGCGAACGACAGTTCTGAAATGGAGGTCCCACGCCCGTCGTCCGCTGCCATCGCCGTCCCCGCGAGACCCACGATACGCGAAACGACAAACGCACAGAATGCTTCCGGTTGTATGTGGAACTTTTTTTTTCAATCAACGTATTTACAGCTTTTTAGAAGCCACAAAAAATGGGTTTCATATTTTTTTCTATTTTTAATACTGAGTGTGTGCCTTCAGTGACCCACGACTTTGATTAAATTTGGTGGTCGCATCGATACCTTAGGAAACGGCCCGTGACCGCGAAAAAGAGAGTGAGCGAGACTCGAACCGGCCAGTTCTTGATCAGCGGTTTTCGGGCGGAAAGAAACCGAATTTCGAGCCGCAAATTCTGTTCTGGGTAGTTGAGCTCTCATATGTCACGTACAACTAAAAACCTCGGCGAGCATAAATACCCTGTCAGTGTCCCTTTAAAGCACAGAATGTGAACGTCGTTTTCGGTTAATGTGTGCCCACTTGAGCCCCGTTGAGTGCGCTTCATTTCGAGCACCGGTGCGCTGCGGAGAAGCAACACTCCAGAAAGCAAGCTCTGCCGGTAATGCTTCTCTGCGGTGCACTGGTGCTCGGAAAGAAGCGCACTCAACGGGGCCGTGAGAGCAAAAAAGTATGAATTAAGCGAAAACGCTGTTCAAATTAAGCGGCTAATAAATACATTAAAAACATAGCGGGACAGCCAAAATTTTCAAATCTGTTTAATTAACCGGAAGTACGAAATATCAGAGTTTGAATTATCACGAGCCTACTGTACATCTTTCTCCGCGCTTCGGAGGGGGAGCAAAGTTCGGAGGTTGACGTCACGTAGACTTGGTCACGGAAGTGACATCACACAGATTAATTCAGAGTTTATCGAATAAATCCGAATTGAACAAAATTTTTCTGGCAAGTTTTTTCAGAGTTTTTGCGGATTAATGCGAAAACACTGAACCCTAGTTACTCTAAAGAGTCGATTTTGTGACATTGCAATGTTAAAACAGCCCTTTGAAACTAGGGTTCTAAAAGATCTTGCAACGCCTATGTTGTGACAGCACAATCTTATAGCAGACCTCTGAAACTGGGGTTTTGAAGACTCGTGATCAGAATGCCACAATCTTGTAGCCTGTAGTATTCTGAAGCGTCAGTCTTGTAAAATAATCTTGTAACGGCCTTCTGAAACTATTGTTTGAAGGAGGCACGCCACTGTGCTTGCTGTCTTGAGCCCTAGCATTGTTGTTGGAGTGGGGCCCAAACCCTGTGGTGACGACTGCAGGGAGCCCCGGCGTGTGGAGCCAGACGGGGGACCAGCTAGCAGTGGAGCCTGGCTCGGGGGTGGCGGTGGCCCTGAAGCCAGGCACCGCCCTGCTCCGCTACTCCGTTGCTCCGCAGCTGCACAGCACCCTACAGGTGGGAGCACGCTCTGCTGGCACCCGCGGTGCTGCCCCGGGCAACTTATGACTTGGCAGAGGGGTGCAGTGCACAACGTTTCGACATTTAGAGGGGAATCTGAAATCTCAAGACACTTCAACGCAGAAAGTGTTACAACGCAGAAAGTGTTAGAGGGCTGGGTTTTGGGAGAAGAGCAACACTTTCCGGTTCGACAGACGTGCAGGTCAATGTCACGTAAACTATACTAGCCCCATAGGCGGCTTAGTGCTTACATAGCCTCGATGTCAGGGTGTCGAGCGACACCGTAACGTTAGGTGTCTGATATTACCTGACACCATGGCATCACGTGACTCTGCGATGTCACGTGATGCCTCGAGGTCATGACATGACGTCACGTGACTTATGTTATGAGGTCACATGACAACACGACGTCTCGTGACATCAGTCACGTGACCATGACATCACGCACACTGTATGTGTGCCCAGCTTGTCTGCAACACATTTTGTGCATCTCGATTGAGATGAGATTGGGACATTCTTAAATATTTTTTAAAGTTGCTGGATAGGACATGCAAGTCACAAAATGAACTTTCCCCAAAGAACAAGAAACTTTTTCATGCAAAAATTTGTCTTAGAGCTCGTTCGAGCTATTCCGAAGTATGATTCTATTCTGGGGTCTAAGTCTTGAGACAGAAGCGTGTCTTGGAATCATTCCTAGCGTGTCTTGTGGCATAAGTATTGCATCCCGAACTCCCTTCTCTTCTTTCAGTGTGCATACCAATTTTGCTCGACTATGTTGCAGTTTTAGAATAGCTCCTCCTATGAAACTCTCTGCTCACCGTAATTGGTAGTTTACTCCTCTCCAGTCGTCTCTTTTTCAGCGTTCACTCTACTAAATTGGAAAGAGTGGAGGGCTTCATAGCCTTACATGCTTTGCACTAAGATTAATTCCAATGTGCCCCGCATCTTTTGTAAAAACTGGTCGTTTTAGATTTGGGCGAGTGCATTACTAAACTCAGCAGTCATCATACTTTTAGATCTTGAGGAGCCCCTATCTTGCTTGACTCGAAGCTGAAATAGAGCTTGAATTGAGGACACATCTTACTTAGGGGCAGGGACTGTCAAGGAAATCTGGAGCTCGAGGAACCCATAGGGCACTCTGGAGAACCCCTTGGTTCCTAACAACCTAGTTTGAGAAGCCACAACTTGGTACTAAAGTGGTTTCCAAGCATTCTAAGAAGAACCCAAGATTAGATCGATACGTGTACGATATTCCTATTAAAAACAGAGTCGAAGTTCACAACACTGCTGTTTTTCTGCGATTCAACTCAAAAATTTGAGGGCGCCGTCTGACGTGCTTGTGCCAATCGCGAGCCATCGCTTCCAGCGCGGCAAGGGGGCCTACCAACGGCGAACCGATTTCCATCTGTGTGCGATTCGCGTATGGGAGGCGATTACTCGCGATTAGTCGTCACACGTCCTACGGCACCCTTTTTTTTTCTTCTTTTTTTTGCAGCGAAACTCAGAAAAACGATTGTGTCGCAAACTTTGATACGGAAATCAGACGCATATCGATCTAATCTTGGGCTTTTGAGAATGTTTAAAGCCCGTAGATCGAGTTATTCGTAAATAAACTATCTCTGAAGCCAGTTTTATTGCCCCTTGAACGGACGCCCCAGACACGCATAGTGGGGTCGCCTTCGCGGGGCATGCGGCCGCTCTGAGGGCGCTCGTTTGTCCCAGGTGCTGGTCCATCCGGTGGCGACCCTGGAGCTGCTCCCGGGGCGCTCCCAGCTGACCTCCCTGGCGGAGACGCGGCTGCCCGTGCTCCTCGCATCCCAGCCCTCAAACGTGCACGGTGGGTCGGCTGTCCCAGGGGGGTGGGGGGGGCACCTCTTGTTGCACGGCCCCCTGCATCCAAGTGACGCTGGAGGCGGCTTCAGCTTTCTGATTGTGTAGCATTTATAGACCTTTCCAATAGTCAGCTTCTGGGCGCCGCTATCTTTGTCTACTGGGCTGCGCAAGGCGTTCCAAACGTGCGCAGTAGCTCTCTTCCCCGAAACATGGGATGCCAAGCATGCGTCCACAGCAGAGCGACTCGACATTTGATAAGTGCTGGAAAGGTCTATAGGGCCGGCCTTGGGGTTTTGTGTTCATGGCATGTAGCCTCGATGACGTCGCAGGTTCATGTGACATTATGTGATGTTGCATCGTGACATCGCGTGCCACAGAATTAATGAGTCGTGTGACCTAATGACATCACACGGTACGGTAACTTCGCATGACGCTATGACATTATGTGACACAGTGACGTCTCACGATGTTGAGTGACTTTATGACTTCACGTGATGTGACATTGCATGACCCTGATGTCGCGTGCACCACGACTTTGCAGTATGACGTGAGACTTTGACGGCTTTCTATATTCACAAAACCTTCACACTGTGCCCTTGAGTGGCCCCCTTTGTGGGCCTTTGAAGGGAGGAGAGCAAAGAGGTAAATGCTGCGCATTTAGAATGCCTTTGGGAAATGCCAAGGAAATGGTAAATTTTTTGTCATAGTCCGACTGGTGTATTGGTTCTTTGCTCGTTGAAAATGGTCTATTTCAACAAGATTGTCTGTTTGGGTTAGGACTTGGTTTGTGTCCTCTTGCGACGTGCAACAGCTATCGAATGGTTCATTCAGATGAGTGTCCTTGGAAAAATGGGGACCAGAAAGACTAGAACTCGAACCAACTAGCCAAATGAGCCCTTTTATCAAATGGTGTTCGGAAAGTCTCATCAGTGTCTTCCTTTTAGAGAGGGAGGAAGGTTTCCAAGCGAAAAGTTTTAGGCATGGGTGTTGTCAGATTTACATGGAAATTCAAAACAACCTCTGAAAAGCTGTCGCCGAAAAAAAGTTTCTTATCCAAAATTTTTATAAAATGATTCTTTTTGAATTTTTAAGAGTAAAAAAATGCTGGACCGTTATTTTATCAGCTAGCATATTTTTGACAACTTTCGTTCGATTCTTACCATATTTTCTCAAGTAATAGCACTTCTTATGAACAAGGCCCTTGCGTCTACTTTTCTGCATAGCACACATACAGCCAATCATTGCGTTCTGCATAAAAATACAGCACATAACGAGGTCGGGAACTCGATTCTTCGTAAAAATGCAATCTGAGCAGATAGCGATTTCGCATGAAGACGTCTCTGTCCCATAAATGGCTTCCATTTTTCCACTGATCAGTGATTTGCTATCCCTGTGCTCCGTGGGAAAGCAGATCCCACCAGTTAGTCCTGCGTCGCTGCACGGTGCGATCCGCTGAAGTAACTCGGATCTGCTCGGCAAAGATTTGGAACAGGGCCCGAGCGTTCCGCTTCTACCACCGTGGGCCACCTGCAACCGTTTTTTTTTTTTTGACGGGTCCGGTGCACTGCAGGGAAGTGCTCCTCGAGGGCAGCCTCCGAGCTGGCGGTCGTGCCTCCCTTCTCGTGCTCGGTGGAGTTTGTCAACTCGAGCCTGGAAGCGTCTGCGGAAGACTTCTTTGCCGCCGAAGCAGGCTTCAACTTTGCCCAAGGTGAGGCCTTTTGGGAAGCTTGGCGTTACCTCTGACCAGCCGCACCACGGGGTCTCAAACCGGGTTTTCAGAAACCGGTTCCCCACGGTTGCCCAAATCGTTTGATTGTTTGTACGCCGAGTGTTTTCTTAGTTCAAAAGAGCACAGAGTTTCCAAAAAAGTTTGCTTGTAAGTGCCAAGATAGGACAGACAGTTGCCGACTGATTATTCGGACTTCGCAGGGACCAAAAGAATGTCAGACTAATAGAGCAGTCTGAAAGATCAGCAGATTGAAAAACTTGCCTTTATTACTTCTAAGTGGGCTTAAAAAAGCCGTAAATAGTGCCTTGCTTCAGGTTACGCCAGCGTGCCTTGTTACGCCTTCGTTTGCGTTCGGCAGCTTTTTGTTAGCTTGAGAATCGCTGCCTTCTTTTCTAGCGTTATGGTTGAGTACTTTCCGAGCTTTTTAACGACACATTGCGGCGGCAGAACAACAGATGGGGCCATGACGTCCAAGCCAGCGTTGTCCGAACGAGATGAGAGGGGCAAATCCACGAGCGCAAAATGGCGACTGGCGACGCGAAAGTGGGGCGGAGGCTCGAAAGGACGGAAGCGATGGAAGGAAACAAAGAAAAATGATGATGATGATGATGATGATGATGATGTGCAGCTAAATGGAAAAAAAGGGGCTAGCATAGCATCACCTAGCGGTAGGAGTCGGGAGTACTCAAGTAGCGCTGCCAAACCAAGCCAATTCATTTGCTGCTAACATAGAATTCAAAATGGCTGCGTCTCGGTGGTGTTTCTCCCAATCTCCTTGTGTTTCCTGCTGATCGTTCGCATCAATTTTCTTCGGATAATCTAACTTTCGGACTTCAAGCTGTCCGTAACATTGGTCGTGAATATGCACCATTTTTATGGAGTAAGTCACGGTTCTTCCTTTAGGTTCGAAATATCGAACAAGTCCGAATTGTCGGAGTCCGAAAAAACGGTCGGCGACTGTATATATTACTATGTAAACCCCCTTTCCCCCTCCCCCAAGAAATGAAATCGCACATGTTTTTGATTAGAGAGCAATGAATGTGTTTAGCGCAAACTAGCACCTCGCAGTACCTCCTGAAGGAAATTGATGTTGCGTGGCATTCTTGCTGCGCAACATGGTGTTGGAGCGGCATTCCTTACGTTCCTGTGCACTTCGTCGAGGACGGCACGCTTCCGTTTTCATTTTCCTTTTTTCCGTCGAAGGCTGGCACCTCGACGGCACGCTCTCCATCGTTGCGCTGAATCGGTGCTTGAACGAAGTCGAGACTTTTCCACAGAGAGCTACCACGCTGACCAGCGATGCCGACACAAAACACAAAGCAAACAAAGGAGTGCGCACAATACCAAGTTGGCACCCAAGTTTGTGTTTCGTCGATACTGAGAGCTTAGATTTAAGAGAGTGTGCAACTGCTCGATCGGGGTCACATGGTTTATGGCCTGCGTTTGCAAAACGAGAATCGAATTAGTCAAGAACGTTCTTCATCTGCAATTGTCTCTGCCTTTCAGCCCTCCGTCCTCCTCTCCACACGACAACCCAACATGTGCTCACTTGTGTCAGTCTGCCCAGAAGGCGACCGCCATTAAATTGCAATTGCTCGCCAAGGTTGGAGTTACTCCCTCTCCTAAATCTAGGCTCTCAATGTCGGTGCGTCGTCTCTAGCACCCTGAGCGCCCCTGTCGGCATGCCGTAACAGACAACTTCTCCGCGTGCGATGCGGAAAAGCCGCTTCCCAGATAAGGAGCGTTGAGCAGATGAGCAGACTACAATGCAGAGGCCACCGGTGGCATTTGCAGCATTGTCCGCTACACGTTCTGGGTGGCCTCTCAACCGCAGCAGCGAAGGGCAGCCTCTACGACTTGGTAACTTTTCTGAATTTGACTATCACAGCGGAGCTGTTAAGGGCTAGCTTCCCCAGGATTGTGTCCCCCGTACAGAAATGTCGACACAAAACCCTGGACAGCTACCGCCATCTATGAGCGATGGCGGCAACCAGACAACCGGTTTACCGGCCTCGCTCATAGATGGCAGCAACCTTTCCAGCCTTTCCACTCTGGTTTTCACCAGACTGGAGAGGCTGAATTTCTCTAGGGGTCGTCCTAGGGGTCGTCCTTGAGGTCGTCCTTGTTGTCCAAGAGGTTGTCCTCTAAGCGTCGTCCCTGAGGTCGTCCTCTAAGCGTCGTCCCTGAGGTCGTCCTCTAAGCGTTGTCCCTGAGGTCGTCCTCTAAGCGTCGTCCCTGAGGTCGTTCCACCATAGTACAGCTTCACTGGTCCTCCTTCACCAAAATGAAAAACAAAGTTTTTTTTTTTGTTTTTTTTTTTTTTAGTTATTACTATTTTTTTAGTCATATCCGTGAGAGCCGCTCCATTTGCTTTGCAAAAAACATATGCACATACCTTAGAAAGTTCAGATGGGAATGGTAAATGGTAAATCGTGATCGCTTCGCTTTAGCCACTATTTCGTTATAACCGACTTGATTGTAAATGAGTGCGACAGTATTCTCGACAGTGTGTAGGCTTTTGTACCGCCTAAATGTATCGCTGCCTGAATAAGAATGCCTAGCTGTGGCTCGGCCTCTGTTTGAGGCAGCTAGGCATTCTTAAAATCCAAGAAACTTTAACACCTATGCCTAACCGTGCTTACTTATGATACAAGCTTTTTTGTGTTTTTTGTGAGCTAATAAAACAGGATATTTTCAAAGTGTGCCACGCGCTAGAATTTTTTATGTTCAAACTAATGCTTGGGATCGGGTAGAGGCTCATTCCCAAAAAATACTGTACTCTCTGGAATTCCTGGGTTTCTAAAAACTCAGTTCGAGAACCTATGCTCTAGGGAAAGGTATGAAACCACGCCGACAGTGTGGAGGGCGTGCAGCGAGTGTTGCCCACTCCAGGGTACTTCTGCTCCCTGCGGCCGCGTGCTGGTGTGGACAAGCCCCGCGCGGTGCTAGAGGCCCAGCTGGAGGTGCGGGCCACCCTGGGCCCGGACGACGACGGGCCCTGGTCCTCGGCGCTGCTCCTCTTCACGGGACCCTTTGAGCTGCACAGTCGTGAGGTGCTGCTCAGCCCCGACCAGCCGTCCACCAGCGTGCTGATCACTGCCGGGCCCGCCACCCACGCCTGCCTCAGGGTGAGAGTGCGCTTGCTGCTGTGACCCGTGTGGATAGACAACCAGACTCATTTGTCGCAAGACGTCCATTGCTGCTCGACGCTCCGTTCCACTTTAAAAGGATACTGAATCGAAATTTGGATTTTACAAAATAAGGCCGCAGAAGCATTGAACAGGACGCTACAAATTCCAAAACCTCACTCATACATCGATATAACGGATGGCAGTATTTTTGGGAAAGAAGGGGGCGATCAAGCGAGGACTCTGACGTCACAGTCCTCCTGGAAAATTTGAGAATGAGGGGAAGCGACCTTGCTTCTTTCCTCCTTGCTTTGGTTCATCAGCTCGACGGGACGAAGCGAGGAGGAGAGGGAATGAGAATCGTGACGTGACTTCTCTCGTCGGCCTCGTCGCCCATGTTCAATCGCGCACTTCTTTTAAAAAAAAACACAGCGATCCGTTAGAGATATTGCTCTATAAGTGATGTTTTGGGGTTTTGCAGCGTCCCGCCTGTCTGTTCAGCCTTGTTTTGTGAGTTCGAAATTTCTATTCAATATCCCTTTTAAGCATATATGCTACAGCATGTGTCAGAGTGGTCCTAGCGGTACTCACCTTGGACCCTACAATGAATTCCAAGCACACGTGTGCACAACAACTAAAGCACAGAGCTCTAGGTGGAACGATCGGTGGGTAGAGACGGCAAACAATGCCACTCCAAGAAACGGGATGAAAGAAAGAACACGGGACAAACACCACGCGTTTGTCCCACGTTCTTTCCTTCGGTCCTCTTGAGCACTGTTTTTGGTCATGTTTGACGGTCGCCACTAGGCCAACGTACCCACTTGCTCTAGCGGGTAGACGCTGTCTGCAAATTGTTTGAACGTGAATGCCGGCGTTCCAAGTCGGGGCGTTTCACGCCGAGAGCCCCGTGCCCTTGCATGTCCCAGGCGGCGAGTTCGGACGAGTCCCGGCTGGAAGTGGTGGGGCTGCGTGCGGTCTCCGGCCGTGCCCACACCTGGAGCCTGGCGCTGCAGGCGCACTCCACGCTGCTCTGGCGCCGGGAGCCCCTGGGGGTCACGCTGGACTGCCCCGCCACGGGACAGAGGGAGCACCTGGTCGTGCGCATGGTTGCACGTGAGTGACTCTCTCACACACCCGTGCTTCCCGTGCGTAGATAAAGCGTGACCTGCACAAAGCGTTCTTATGCTGGCGACAGGCTTTGGGCTACATTAACTGCAGCACGAGCAGATGGCGTGCACACAGATATATTAAAACGGTTCTTGCACCGGTTGAAGAGACGAAAGAAGGACGAGAGTCTATAAAACTTAAAGCGTCGGACTGTCCTTTTTTTTATTTACAGCGGAGTCGTTAAGGGTTAGTTTCCCCACTATCGTGTCCGCGGACAAGCAGCATGTGGACACAAAACTCCAGACAGCTACCGCCATCTATGAGCGACAGTGGCAAACAGGCAACCGGCTTGCCAGTTGTCTGGTTGCCGTCGTCGCTCATGGATGTCGGCAACCTTTCCAGCCTTTCCGCTCTGGTCTTCACCAGAGTAGAAAGGCTGAATTTTAGTCTTGTGCGAATAGTGGATTTTGAGTTTGAAGCGATTTCAAAGTAAATAGTGGTTTTGGCTGAATATTTTCGATTTGAACATCTAATAGTTTTTCCACCCCTATCACTATCTGCATAATGCTTGGACGAAAACCCAGCTAAACTTGTGAAGGTTCTTCCCCTTGTTCATTTATATGCTAAGTTTAATCTTTCTATATTTATGAACTGTGACCTCAGAAGGTCTGATGTCTTGGAATGGCAACTAAACGACAGATTTGACATAAAATTAATTCTATAGAGATGGCCAACTCTACCCAATTGAGTGAATCTACAAATCTTGCTATATATTCTTCCTTTAATCTCGAGTTAAAAAAAAGAATGAATCGCGCATGTTTAATGCAGGTTGTAAGGGCATCTCTGTTTAATTTTGAAACTTTTACTACAATGTAGATATACACATTCACAAAGTTTCTATTTATTTTTAAATACAGCCGGCACACATGCACCATCCCGCTTTGAATGTATGCTTTTTTTCCAAGCACGGAATTGCGATATTCATACTTTTCCAAGTGTTTATCGTGGCGGATTACCCCGTTGAGTGCGCTTCTTACCGAGCATCGATGTAATGCAGAAAAGCAACACCGGTGGTGCTTGCTTCCGCAAATATTGCTTCTCTGCAGTGCATCCTACTGAATTTCTCTAGGCGTCCCTGAGGTCGTCCTCTGGGCGTCGTAAAGATAACAGCTTCGCTGGTCGTCCATCTTCACTTGAGGTGGAAGGGCTCTACCTTTTTTGTCTTCCATTGTTTGACGTTTCCCTTTCCTTACCAGAGTCTCGGGTATAATTCGTCGTAGTTGTCGTTCACCTGCTCGGCTGCACACTTGCTGTCTTTTTATAAATAATAGTTTCAAATTATCTTGCACGTCGTAGCAGACTCGTTTTATTTCTATATTGGAAATCAATCTGTTTCTAAGCCGAATCAAATGCGCCAACATCCTAGCTTACGAAAAGGTGCACAGAGTCAGCCACGTGCTCCACGCACACCACGAAAAGTGGGGGTGCCGAAATCGCACTACCATTCGCCTGGCTCTTGTCGACGAGGGCAGGCACCCATTTTTGGCGTCGGCACAACGCAAGTTTTTTCTGGACTGGTCAGGGACGGGCGCATTGGCAACATCGAGCACCTAGCGTCCACAATGACTCCGCGTTGACGCTGACGGGTGAAAATTGTGTGCGAGAACGCTCCCGGCCGGTCACACTTAATACATTCTACAGGGTGTTTCTGGGGCGTGTGGCGGCAGAGTGTTCTGTTCCTAGCTGTGGTCCCTCAATTTCTGCCAGACGACATTGTAAAACTGCCGCGTCATCGCCAGCCGCAATCCTGGCGGCGTCCCAGCAGTGGCGGTGGATGTGGCAGATGCCTGCTCTGCCACACGTCGCTCCCCGGCTTGACAGTCCATGGAAGCTCCGGCAGTCCGGAGTCGGGACACAGCGACGATGGCAACGCTCGCGTTTACTCTTAGAGTTTTCCAGGACTTCTAGCATCGACCACCAGGATCGCGACATCCAACGGCCCGATGCTCCGACTTTTGTGGCGTCATTTGTTGCCACTTGGGGACACGCTCGATGCACGGGCAGAATAGTACACTGGTGCCCGAGCCCCACTAGAGCGACAAACGGAAAAAACGACAGCGACATCCCTCAAACCAGTCTTTTGCGATTTGGAATAAAGGAGGCTATGTTCAAACACGTACATCATACAGGCGAGGGTATCTTTGGCAGGCTTGCAATCACTCGTGCTTACTTCACGAGGACCGAACGACTAAATGCCTGCCAAAGGTGCCATTGTGAGCATGCTGCATGTGTTGGAGGCTTGTCGCTGTCGTTTGTTTCTGTTTGTCGTCCTTGTGGGACTCGTGCATAAAGACGTTGGTTGGGGACGCGTTCCAGGCTTCATAATTTGAATTTCCGGAACCGTTGCCAGCCTATGATGATGATGATGATGATGATGATGGCGACAATGCCAGACTGTTTTTTGGTGTTGTGCGATGCAGTGTCACCCTCTGGAGGTCTGGAGCCGGACCTGGGCTGGCCAGCCGTGCTTCGCTCCTTTTGGGCGCACCACCAGTTCTGGCTGGCCACTCTGGTCATTGGGGCCGCCACTGCTGCGCTGCTGATTGGTGAGCGTTGTCGGGAGTTCTGGTTCCATATCCTCGCGACTCCTCATCTACCCCAGGTCACCGCATTGAGCCCTCTGGCCAGAACGCAGCGTCATTAACTTGGCGACTTCATCGCTAGGTTTGGCGGCCTTTCTTTTTCTTAAAAGGTTTTTAATGCAGATTCTGTCTTGTCAGCCGGTTTCCATAGAGTTCTGTAACAGCTGGCTGTAACAAAAAAACACCAGAAAGTGTACTCTCATAGAAAACCATATAAAAAGACTTCAGTCCCCCGGCAGGATTAGAACCCTCCATCTTGAGGTCGTGAGGCAATGGCTTTGCCAACTCGGCTATCCAGGGTCGGTGGTTGGAGCATGCAGAAGCAAAGTAATTTGCATGGCTTGCAAAGGCATCATCACGCGCTTTGCAGCCTTTCCTGTCACGTGTCGGAAATGAGATTCAGACTCCTTTCTCTTCTTCCCAGGAAAGCCTATCGCACATTCTGTGCTTACCAATCTGTCAACATGATCAAGCTTGTTTTTCTGTTTGGAGTTTTTAGCGACTGTTTTGTTTAGATAAATATAAAAATGTTCGAAACAACTGCTATGCGTGAAGAGTGGCAAGGAGGCTCATGAGCTCGCACACGGGTAAGGAGACGGGTGCTACCAGTAGCATGGTGCGGTGCTCTGCCAACAAATTCCAAGTGCTGCAAGGAATCAATTGACTAAAAATATTTTAATTTTTTTTTTTATTTAACTCTTGGGGGTGCCCTTGAATAGCCTATAGGACTACAAAAGGATCCACCTTTTATCAGGAGTATGCATTGTAACATAAATAAAATGCACAAAAGCATGCACAGTATGTGTTACACAAAATATGTTACAAGAAAAAGAAAGTAGTGCTCGAGAAAAATAACTAAAGTCAGTCGGATGTGAATATGAAACATCAGATAAAAACTGATCTGTGACATTGTAAAAAAAAAGGCACACAAGATAGCTTAAACAGCAATATGCACGTACCATAAAGTGCCGCAGAAGTGGCCACTTTATGCAAGCGCCCACTGTTATTTCTTATATTTGGGAATTCTGCAAATTATACGACCACCCCCTCCAAAGCACTTGCATCAACCGAAAATATTCACCTCGTAAAAATACATCGGTAAAATTAATTGTGCTTTCTCTGATTTCGCTCACCTTGTCTTCGAAGCTCTTTATTGGCCGCCATTCTTGCTTTTACCGACTTGACCAGACAAGCACCCATGTCTAGGTTAACCCAGTTTACAATGAAAGCGGGGTGGGCACTTCCCCAGCATTTTACTATAGCTCCTGCATGCATTGCCACATTTCTTGCTAAGGAATCTTGAAAATTCGACTCATCGGAAGGCTTTTTCACGCGCCTAGACTAGCAGAAGAATAACGAAAAGGTGAAGGAAAAAGCGTAGAGGCACAGCAGTCGTTGCACGAGCAACTTCCGCGCCTGCCAAGCGCAGACATGACGACTGGCGCCCCACGGTGCAGGCTACCGGAACCTCCTGGGCCAGCAGTCTGCAGTCGCCCGCCAGCCGGACGTGTTCCTCAACACCTCCGGCGAAAACCGATCTCCCAGCGGAGGTGAGTCAGGTGCCGCCAATGGGCGCCGGCTAGGCACGTGCGAACGTGGAACATGAGTTCAAAACGAATAGTGGTTTTGGCCGGATATTTAGGAATTGAATATTGAATGGGTAGTTCCTCCAAGCCTTTCACTACTGTGTAACCATTAGATGTAAACTCGGCTGAACTTGCAACTTCCACTAAACAACTTCCACTAACAACTAAACTCAGCTGAACTCCCTTGACTACTTCTAAATTAATCCATAAATATAGCTGACTATATTTATAGACTGTGACATTAGAAAGTGAACGAGGTAGGGCATAAAATTAACCTTTAGAGATGCACAGCTATGCCTAATCGAAGAGATTTATGGATCTTCTTGGTATATGCAGCTGTTCTTTGTTCGATCTCGAATTTTAAACAAAGTGATCAAGATTGGTAAATGCATGTTGTCAACACCTAAGACCAAGACAGCAACTAGGGTTCCGGAAAAGGTGCCTTCATGCATCTCGCCCGAAAACGAATTGACGTGCCTTCTATTGAACGGTGGCATATGGGTAGTACATCGATGGGCTGGAATTTGTCGGAAACATTTCCGACAAATTTGACCGTTTCCTGCATCGACGAGAGTTCAAGAATGTTGTCTTTCATTTAAATTTGAGTGATACTCTACCAATAAATAGATTGGTCAGTCGAGGTAACTTTTTACATATGTGATCGGAGCACTCTAAACTTTTCAGGGGTATTAGAAACATTTGAAGAAACTTCATAACATTGCCTACTCGTTTACTCTATACTGTGTTGTTCCACACTGACCTTTAATCATTTATCTTCAAAATAATTTGGGCTTCTGCCACCCGTATCTACGAGATGCCGGTTTCGTCATGACTGTGCAGTCGGAACTGGCTCATGCGGCTCGTTGAGTTTCGGTGTGTCGCGCTCTCATACACTATGGTTCGTTTAGTTGCTGTGCCCAGAGTATGAAATTGGAGCATCAGAGTAGGTGTAAAGGAATGCGGACTCAACGCGGCCATTGGCTCCCTGGATGGCAAGGCCGTAGTGCTGGAGTTCCTATGTCGCCCACCAGAGGTCGCCAGATGGCACAGATTGGACACCAATGCTGCGTCAGCATTCAGCTGGCACCTGTGCCCCTTGGCCGTTTCTGCTTAAATCCCTAAAAAGTCGCCCTTGGAAAAGTCTGGGGGGGCCCCCCTCCCTTAGCCTCTATAGGGTGCATTTTTCTTGTGGAAAAATTTACATACACCAGCTTTTGTTGAGGAAGAGATGTTTCGTCTTTGGGCTACTACCGGGTCAACCAAATACGTCTGGGCTATGCTTCACCCATGACGTCGCATGTGTCCGCGATAACAGATCTCTCTGCAGCCCCCCCATCAAGCCTGCACTATAAATACGTCCCTGCTTTGCATGCAAGGGATGTTTTGTTGCATTGTTTTGATGTAACCGTGTATGAGGCTCCCGTCTGCCATGTGTCCTCTAACCGTGCCGTGTTTGGGTGCAGTGCTACCCTACGTGCCGTGGCCAGGGTCCCCCGAGCGACTCTGGAGCGTTCCGGACCCCCACTGGTCCCCCAGCCAGAGGCGCTCTTCTCCCGCCAGGTAGCGGGAGCTCGGGAAGGCTCCTTCGAGGCAACTCGCCAGCACTCGCCTGGCCGTGCCACCCAAGACCACTGGGGACGGTGTTCAGCACCGTGCGGCGATGACTGCCGTCTGTACATAGAGTTGTGATCTTTTGTTTATTTTCTTTTCTCAAGGCTGTGGTACAGTGCAGCCCTGTATGCAAAGTTGTTTTATTTTTGCTTTGTTTAGAATTTTTAGGAAAAGGGAACTTGGTGTTAGGGTGAGTTTAGCCCCGAGGCTAAGTTGGTGGGCCGTGGCAGCCACTATAGGTCGGTGACAGGTTAGGGGTAAAGAAGCTCCTCTCACTTCTTTCCACTTTGGCAGAGCGAACGCTCCTCCCCTCCGGCATTCGCTCTGCTAAAGTAAAATGGGGTGGGAGGAGCTTCCGCTTTACTTTTAGCCTGTCACCAACTGTAGAAAAGAGGCAAAATTGGTCAATTATTTCACCAAACAGGAAAGTTTTATTTTTTAATATTTTTATTTTATATATTTTATAATGTATTTAAATAGTCGATGCTCAATGGTTTTCAAACTGAAACGGAGCTATCGCAGTTGGTATCGCTTGCGGAAAGCAGAAGCATTGACATTACTGGTGCTCTTTGCCCACATTTTCGGTTTGAAGCCGTGCACAAAGGTGACACTTTTCGCCCCGTAGCGCCCACTACAAATTTTTTCATAAAAATTTCTCCCGAACAGTTGGAGCGTATCATGAATCCGAATGCAAAATGTCCCAAAAATTGAGATTTAAAAAGTTGCATAAATTTGTTCAGTTAATTAGCCAAGTAATTAAGCCATTCGACCTCTTTTCTAGTCACTGCCATTGCCTCCAACTCGGCCGTAGAGCTCAAAAAACCACGATGAGAGTTCCCTCTATTTATTTCTTTAGTTCTGGACCGACAAAAGAAAAACGGACCGCACAACAAACCCGAATGTTTTGCAAGATGCATTTGTTTTATTGGGAGTTTGTTATAAATGGGCTGCACAGTACATGCTCTCCTGGATCTAGGCAAGCGTTTGGCAGTACCGATCTCAGTCATTTTTTTAGTTGCCATTCGTTGGAAGGAGGGGGGAACTGCAGCAGTCCCTCGGAGAGTTCCAAGATCCGTATTTTGGCATCCTTTAAAATTACTTGAGACATTTGTGACAAATTAAGGAGAATGGCCCTTGACATATTGACACGTTTGTCGGACCGTGTCTGCCTTGGTGGAGGGGGAAACGTGGAAGAAGGTGTCAACTTTGATCATTTATAGTGAGTAAGAAAGGTTTTGTACGTCAATCTCGTCCTCCACTCCATTTTACTTCAAGTCCGACCACAGCGGTCGCTACGATTTGAGGCCAAAATTTCATCATCACGGCGCTAAACTACTGAACTAATTGCGCGCAGCGAATGCACAGTGATCCTGGGCTTTCTTTGTGTGCGACTGGTTTAGCAGGCGATAATGAACTCGTGAAGGCAACGAGATCCGGGACGATGCACTTTTGGGGGTGATTGATTAGTTCCGTCCGATCGCGGTGTCGGCTGCGGTCGGACTTGGGGCGAGAGGGAATGTGGAAGTCGGAAAGCTCCCAGCTTCAAAATCGTTACTTGTGCCTCGAACAATAAAGTTTTTCAAACGTTGTCTATTTCTTGCTTCGATGGCTCCGTCGTACTTGTTCCTCGTAGTAACTCCGTTCATATTTGGGAGCTTCTTTTTCTGCACATTGCACCTGCATCTCGTAGCACTCACTCCCACCATAACTTGGCAAAAATTGTCGGCTGCGACTAGGTGGGGTGCTCCAGTCACGAACTCGGTTCTTTGGAAAAATTAATAACACGTTAACCCTACAACTGAATTCTTTTAATGCTCTCGTACAATGAAAATTTCACGAGTGATAATTTTGTATAACTTAACTGATGTTTGTTGGTGTGCTAAGAAAATTGAGGCAAGTTGGAGACCATGAAGAAACACCAGAGTACCCCTTTAATGAAAGCAAGAATGATAATAAATCTCTGTATAACGTCCTCGGTTGCACAAAAATGTTTTTTTTTTTTTTTCACATTCTTTTTTTACTTTTTGAATATATTGTTTATTAAAATTAATTAAAAAAATAGCAGCATTTTAGTAGACTACATCGGTAAGATGCAAGGCGAGCTGGTGGTAGCTAATCATTTTGTTTAACATTCGAGACTGGTCCAGAAAAGGAAAAAAACTTGGTTGAAGACACAGAAGGGAACGTCTTGAGACGATCCTTCTGTCTGTTTGTTCGACTAAAAGTTTTTGTTTGTTTTTTCCTTTTCTGCACCCCAGTCTTGGGTGTTAAACGACATGATTAGACAATAATAGTATTAAACCTAGTATCTGTCAAAAATCATTTGTTTTGTTAGAAGCCATGGAATGATTCTTAGTGAGACGCATGGTAGAAAATCTGTGCACACAGCTATAAATGCGCAGTTATTCAGTTGCAAAGACCCAAAACAAAGACTCAGATGCTGACTATTGGAACGTGACCGTTGGGCGACACCAGCATTCAACATTCGGCACCCGAACGCCAGACCCAGACATTGCCGCTCGCTCTGCGTGAGGAGTAGACGACTTGCTCATTCTTCACTGGAGAGTCTTACCTCCAATCAGAAGGGTCCTCCCTTTGAGTCTACCTTCTCCCCTTCCAACTGAAGCTCGGTGCTTCTTGCGAGGAGAATGCGGCGACGTCTGACGAAGAGGAGCAACCATATTTTCCCAGATCTTACAAATTTAGGTATGGGCGCTTAGTGTGGTATGGGCGGATGCACGGTATTCTACGGTATATCAGACTTTGCCAAGAGGCTAAAGAGGTATTCTTTGTATGTTGCGTTTTTTTCTTGCTACTAAACCATACTTTTAAGAAGAAAAAAAAAGCTAACAGACATCAAAATAAAAACAAACATAAACATCAAAATAGAAGGCTCGAGATGCTTGTAAGCACTTCTTACGAGTTATGAATGCTAAAGCACGCTCGCCGCTCTTCGCTCCCTTTTTTTTTTTTTTTTTGTCTGCGGGGTACGGCACGCTGACCTTGGGCATGGAGCGATGGAGCTGCTGCCTCGCAAACATGCAGCGCCTTCGGGTGAGCGATCGTTGAAACTGACAAGGAGCGGCCAATGGGAGCCTCGTCGACGCGTGCCAGCCAACGGGACCGAAGCCGAAAATACATCAGCTTGACTTCGCTCCTTTGGGATCGGGGAAACTAGGTGCTGTGTCTAGGCTTTTCGTGTGGTTTCATAGCTGGGAGCTGGCTTTACTTGGAGAAAGAACTTAAGGTGCCATTTCACGCTTCAAACTGATGACGTCGGCTCGCTCCATGAGACCCAGTTAATGCTTTCGCATTAAAGTCGACGATTGTTCCACACTAGCAAGATCTGGGGACACCCAAGAGGCGAAGCCGCGTTAAGCGCCACTGACACCAGGGAGTTTTGGCAAGTCGTCAACGGTGCTGGCTGTAGTGCGGTGACGACCGCAATGCAGGGGATGCCAAAAATTCACCACTATTGCCTTCTTGAATGGGAAGTGTTGGCCAGTATACCCACCGGGCAGTGAAGTTTGGTTTAACAGGTGGTGCCATCTTATGGATAATTTTTTCAACTCTGAGATGGCACGCAGTCGCAACAATTGGACCCGAGCTTGAATGTCGAGCTCCTTTCCAAACTGCGGTGCAGTGCTCATGTCCAATCGCTATGTGGCAATCACGTGGCAAAAGACAGACGTGATAGGCCAGGTGATAAAAACTAGTTGAATGATTTGTCTGGCAAGTGTGTAGTTTCCACCCTTTCCACCGCACTCAGCTTAGGGGTGAACAGAGTACAGTGGTAGCATTGAGCAAAAAGCATACCACTGAATTCCCAGTCAGTTCAACAGCTTGGGTCGACAATACTATGTGTAAGCGAGCGGACATTGACCTTCCCCTGGTGAGCACGCATTCCTCCCGTGCAGCCCTTTATACTAGTCGTAAGATGTGATGTAGATCGCGTGACATGCCATTGGAACCGTAATGTATTCTCCCGGTATGCTTAGACTTTTTAAAACTCTCACTTGTTCAAAGTTCCCAGTGCCTTGCACGTTAGTGGACCCCTAAGCGCGAGATTACGTATTCACCACTTTCATAGTTTTATCACCATTAGTGTAGATTTTATTACACAATAAAATATCAGCAAACAAGTTGCTAGTCACTCAAGTGGAATATGTCGTTCCTCGATCGTATGCAGTGCGGGAATGCGGGGAAAACTCAACTGTTAGGCTTTTCCACTACTACACTTCACAATAACAAACTATGCAAACAGTACAAGGCCATGTATGAACTTGCGTAAGCATTACATTTCAGTTTTACTTCACCTTAAAATGTTCCCACAGCTCAAGCTGCGGGCACATTTAAAATATAAAACAAGGGACTACACAGGCACGTCTTTAACCTAAGATAGTGAACCATTAGTTGTTTACTATTCTGTGCTATGACATGAGCTAGATATGTGCAAACATCAAAATTTCAAATGCCATTAGAGTTTGAATGCAAATAAAATTTTAATATGAATCTTCTAGATAATCTGAATTGAGCTTGGATGTTTTAATGAATCATGACTGGAGTTTTCTAAAATACTCAGGAAAATAAAATTGTATTACATGAGAAACATTTCAGTGCTTGCATGAAAAGAAAGGTCCTGTTAAGATTAGTTTGGGTAAAACATGAAACTTGGAAGGCGAGGCAATGACTACCTTTATTTTAATGCAGCTTGAGAATGCTTATTTACACTTGTAGGCAAAGTTTCCATGACCCCCGTGGTTACACAGCCCCTGACATCCGCCGGATGCTGTGTAGACAAGATTTCGGTTAAACGTCGAAAGATCCCCAGGCGGTCAAAATGAATCCTTGGTCCACAGCTGGGATGCCCTTTGTTGGTTGTGCTGGACGCCCTTTGTTGGACCCAAACACGTCGGCTGCTTCTCCTAGCACAACGATGCAAAACAGTAGAGCATGACATACGTGCACCAATGCAAAGTGCTAAAGCTTTACACTGCTGCAAAGCAGGGAAGCTTGAGATCAAAAACAAATTCTGAAGACATTCCTTCGTAATTTTCGAACATACGAAGAACTCTCAACACTTTGAACAATAAAAGTATGCTGCAAATCAAATTTTGCGAGTTTGCGCACTTCCAGCAGGAGCGACTAAATTTTAAGTGAAGTTATCGCGAAAGAACCAAGTGGCAGACGTCGGCTTTCTCCAAAAGCCCACTTGCATTGTCTCATTGTGGCTCGCCTGCAGTGACCCAAGCAGTGACTCGGGCTAAACCTAATGGTTTGGGATTAATTTTTTTAGCATTGTTTTGTTCTGATGCTGGACACAGTGTCATGTACAGTGTGCGACGCTGTTGATATTGACATGATATTGGTGCCCACTTGCGTTCTACTTTGAAATACTATTGGCAGGCTCCAAACTGAGTCAGTGCCCCAGAGGGCTGTTCACCTTCATATTGCTCACGGGTGTACATTCCCCTACAATATGAAAGGCCCAGTTGACGTGGCAGTTTCGGGTGGCTGCGCAGGATTCGCCTTGGTAATGCCCGTATTGTTTGGGGTGAGGAAAATATTTCTCCTACACTTTCTAAAACTGAAGAGCCTCAAAGCAGCACCGCAAAAAGAGCCTTGGCAATATGTCTTCCATGTTGTGGAAAAATGCACATGTCAAGCAGCAGTGATTACCAGACGCTACTGTACCAAAGTGGAAAAAAAGGTACAGTTGAATCTCGTTGATGCAAACTCTCTTAATTCAAACTAATATGCAGGTCCCATCCTACGCGTGTCTATGGGAGGAAACTCCCGGTGATTCAAGCTTTGCTTTATTCAAACAAATTTTCAGTCCCCTTCGAATTAATGAGATTTGACTGTACCAACAAAAAACCACCTTTACTTTTTTGCCTTTCGAAAACACCTGTGAGAAAAACCACACTTTTCCGCCAGCTAACATTCCTGGTAAGGCCCGGTTCTCAGATGCGCCGAGCACCGATTTAGCACTGGGTACGGCGCGCTTTTTCCCCTCACCCGCCACCAAACTGTTGGATGTTTTTAATGAGACTAGAGCTAGCTCTATTCTGAGAACCACGGCGTAATTGTGATGTATGCTAGGGGCCCGGCCAGCACTTGTGGGCTGATGATAATTGAAGCAGACAGCATCCAGTCTAAAATTGACATCCGGTAATGAATTTCGGAAAACGTGGATGCATTTTCTCTGTATACTCGATTATAAGCAAATATTACGAATAACACCAACGTAATAACTAGCTTTGAATGTTTCTCAATCTTGTGGACAGATGTATTGGTCAGTTACAGTGCTTTTTTTCAACTTTGTAGGAGTAAACATGGGGCTAAAACAGACACAATAATCAAGAGACACTGCAAGAACGACACAGTAACGCCGGACCTGTGCAAGTACATAACCAAACTAAAGTGAAAGCCAATTAGTGTGCATTGCAATAAATAAGATGTTTTATTCTCTCTGCTCGTGCAAAACTAGTTTTGTCCTAGCATTGAAAACATGTCTACACGCTTTAAACAAAATCCACGCGAAGAGTGAAAAGCCAGGAAACACTTACCGTAAAATACAGAGCGTCCGCC